AGCACACCACAGCCCTCTCTCACTTCACCCGCTGCGTGTGCTTGCCGCAGTGGCATGGCTTGCGTGGGCTTGCTCCATCACTGCGTTACTCTCTCTCCCTCTCTTTTTACACATTGTTAACGAGCCTTTGTCCCTGCGATAACCGAATGGGCTCCGATGATGCCCTGTAATAATATTGCTGATAACTGATAACTTTTGATAGAGATGAAGAGTAGGAAAAAACGGTGATTTAAAAAATCCCTGTTATTACCAGTTCCCTGTTATTACCATGCCTGTTATATATGGTTTCCACTGTAGCTTACTGTACTCTGAATGAACGATCTAACAAATCAATTGACAGAAAATGCACACATTCATTGTGAGACTGTTTAACAACAACATCAACAAGAACCATCCACACACACACAAACTTTTCACATGTAAAATTTACTGGCAGAGGATCTACCCTCGCACTCATGACAATATTTTTTGCAAAGTGCATGCTAGACTGTATCTTAAATCAGTGAATTTACCCTTAAGCAGGTGAAGAATGGAGCACAAAACTTTCCCAGACCAGATGCTTGCTTTCAAGCACAAAACATGCCAGAACAGCCATTGGAAGCAGTCTTCTAGTAAAACTTTTATGAGAGAGCACAGCACTTTATACCTAATCTCAAAGCAAGTCTTCTTATAAAACATCATCATCTTTCATGTTGGCCAACAAGAAAATTGATTGAATTAATAAAATTGAACTTAATTTAATAAGTGAAACATAGTGCATACCACTACCACACATACAGTGAAACTCAGAGAACAGTATAACACGAATAGCTTGAATTCGATTGGACCGGCCTCCAAAGTTCGAGGGATACGTGAACAGTGTTATGGCACTGGCTGTGTCCGAGAATAAAGGGAAGCAACAAAGATTTCTACTTTAGGGGGCAAAATAATAGGCCGATAACCTCCCTTCACTTGTGTGACGAAACAGTGCAACAGTCCTACCCCCGCCTCTCCTATCAAAGCGCACAGTCCTTTACGAAGAGGGGTGGGGCAGCTGATCATGTGATGCACAACCCTTCCTCTTCCCTGATCCACACAACTTTTCCTCTTTCCCGCTCCACACAAGCCTTGCTAGATAGAGGCTTAGGGTCTACCCTGGGCACACTTGTTGAGCAGCGTGCTAAAAATAGCACAGCTAGCTGTTTATGTGGAGGGGGGGGGGGGGGGGTGTGAAGATGGTATTTTTCTGACCTTGCCTTTTTCAGTTAAAAAAACATTATTATTATTATTGTTTTGTCCAAAGTGCCCCTCAAAGGACTTACTTCAGACCTCTACAGCCGTGTAATTAGTTAGACTATTCCGCGTCTGTTTGAGCTTCACATAATTTTCGTATAAAAATAAAGAAGAAAAAAGAAACAGGACCGCAAGCACAGTTCGACAGATGCATGATTTCAAGCCTTCTGCATTAGACTTATGCGTGTTACACCACAGTATGAAGTCATCAAGCCTGATCTTTAATTTTTATTTCTGAGTGTTCACATGTTAAAAAGTAGGTAGCGTAAACACGGCCTCGCAGCCTTCCGACCGCGTGGTATCGGTGAAATCGGGGTAATTCCGATCGCTGTTTCTTTGCTTTTTCGCTTTAAAACACCAAGTGCCGTACACCTTGTAAAAGTTCAGCTTTTCCTCGTTACAATGGTGTAAGTTGTTTTTATGTCCGATTAGTAGGAGCTGGAGAATCGCCGAAGAAAGCGAAGCCCCTCGCGGTCGGAATGCGTGGTCGGCCGGTTGAAAAATTGACTCGGGTTCATTCAAATGCTTCGCGGAACGAGGAATGATTAAATACCGTCTTTTCATTGGCGGAGAACTGTAGAGCTTTACACGGGCTTTTTTGTAGTATATGTTTTGCCTTTGGCGTCTAAATAAAAAGCTTTTAAAAATACTGTCAAAATGTTTAAAGATCACTTTTTACCCATAATATGTATCACACCCGCTTAAAAAATATATTTAATATTAAAAGATCAGCTTATTTTCTATTAGAATAAAGTAATCAACTTGGAATTATTTTTCATCAATCCTTCCGCGAGATTCAGAAAGCATGTGACCCCGCACGCAGGGTACACTACAGTATAGAGCCGACTCGCTCGCCGCGGGGCCCGGTGCGGCGCCGGCCGGGTCAACGCTCGGTGTTTTTGTCGAAATAACGACAGATCATCGTGTTTGAGGCGATAAAGTACTGATTCGTAATGATCTCACAGTCTTGAAAAAAATTAGGCTCCATATATTTGTTATAGTGATTGTACTCTGTTAATGTGGAGATATTTAGTGCTCTTGGTACTCTTTTATTGTCTGTCAAACCTGGGGTTGCAGCCAGTGACTGACTTTAACAAATTTGATCAAATTTTAAAGAACTACCATTTTCTTAAAAATTAACTGAGAGGTTAAAGAATGGTACCAAAATGCTCAGTGGATATAGGCCTTTCAAATGGAACAACAGATAAATTTGGCATACAACTACTTTGAAAATTTTGTTTCTGGTACCTATAAAAAGCAATGCGAGTCACAAGTTGCTTTGCAGTCCATGGCCTAGCATACGGCAATGTTTGTTTCCATAGACCAGTGTGCAATTCATAATCTAGATGTCTAGGTTAGAGCAGCTTCATCTTGTTCAGTAGCTGGGGAAGGGTGATTAGATTGTTTTGATTGTGAACAGTGAAACGTCTGCATCTCTGCTGACATTCCACCCCCACCTCTCCACCCCCCTCAGACACCTGCACTAGCAGCCATAAGAGAGCTGGTGGCTACCCATCTGACCTCTCTCGACCCCAGCACATGAGACACATCATGTCTAATCAGTGTGTCAGCAACGTCCGCTGTTGGTGTGAAAGAAAGCTTTTTGAAGGACAGGTTGCGCACAATGCGAATAATCCCTGTACAGGTGCGATCTACGGTCTCTTGTAATAGAGCAAAAAGAAAAATCTTCATTAACGGAGAAAAAATGCATGATCGTGTGCAAGCTACCTCAGCAGACGCTGTTCGTCCGGCAAGGGGCTTCAATGAATTCAAATTTGTTCAGTTTTTAATTTTAAACGTGTTCATTGGATCTTCCAAGTTATTTTGTTGCTTTTAATGAAAACCCCCCCCAAAAATGTCTAGTTGAATCCGAGTTTTCGTTGAACCGGAGTTCGTCGTATTATACATGACATGACATCGAAGTTTCACTATAGATCTAGACTTCAACATGAAACTTACAAACAAATCATCTTGAATTTGAGACCTTCTAACTCAAATTACTAACAGCCTGCCCCTACATAACAAATCACACATTTCACAATAAAATTCATCGGGCAGAAGAGACTAGTTTGTTCCATTTCAGTGACTCAATCCTTGTGGGGACATTGTAGAGTCTGAAAAGTGTTGCAGCCGGTCAAGAACAAGTATGCAATAATTTATTTTGATGTGTTTCATCAATACTCAGAGCGGATTCTTTTTGCAGCTGGGTGAGCAAGCCAATCTCTTGGGAAAATTGTTTAGTAAACTAGAGTAACACACACCTTGAATGAATTTTAATTATTTTTTATGTTCTGTGGGCCAGTAGGCTACACAACAGTTTATTATTAGTTAATTAGTCAGTAATAGTAATGAAAGTGAAACCACTAGCCACAGCCTAGGAACTGATCACATCCTCTGTACAAATCAAAGTAAGGCAAAGCGCAGTTCTGAAATTTCACCACCATAGTTATGATTTGGGTGGAAATATCTTTTCCTTTATTCTTGTCCTCAGGCCTTTTCCTCCCTCCTCTGCAAGTTCAGCAAGGCCTTGATCAGAAAGTGTGTCATGCAATGAGTCTGCTGTTGAACCCGATGCATTTGAATCACGAGATCGTTCCCACTTGAATCGATAGAAATTGTCTGAAAGTTTCTGGAGCGATTTAAACGCTATGTCACATTCTATTTCATTGGCGATTACAGATGCATCACCTTTTGAAAACGCCTCACCAACTCGTTTACGGATCAGAAGACCAAGATCTCTGGTGCCTCTTGAAGGGTCAACAGGCCATTTCTCACAAAGCCGGAGAAAATTTCGATAGCGTGTCGATGCCATGCTATAGAAACAACGGAAAAATAAAGTTTCACAACAGCAGTAGTCAAGTCAGTTTGAAGTTGGAGAGTTCGACAGTTTGTTGAAATAATTTGACCTCTCTCACTCTCTCCTCTTGCACTTGTACAACATGTCAAAAGTCAAAATGTTACATGAATGAGGATTCAAGGGAAGGCATTCCCATTTCCCGATTTGTTTTCGTTCATACAAAGATTGGGTGTACACTTGGTGTACACATGTCCATGATGTATTTATTTGGAAGCCGTATTTTAGCTAGGCCTAAAGCATAATTTGACGTCTTTTTCAAGTGAATTTAGGAAAATCACTCTATTCAGAATAATTCTTTAAACCCTCTTTTCTTGGGGAAGCATACTTATTTCAATGGTGACAACGTTCTATTATTTTTTCCCGAGACCGCTTTTGTCCGAAGTATGAAGACAATTGTTAGACTGCGTGAACTATCATAATATTGTCGATCGACTCCAGCTAGACAGACTCAAGTCAAGACCACTACAACTCATTCATTAGGGCCTATTGTTTTTTATTTTTAGTAGACTGACTTCTACTCTAGGTTTTGGGTTGTTGTTTGTTTTAATTCTTGGTTACAGATTTAGAACAGAAATTGGATCTAGAGTTCCAACCTGCAGTAACTGAGATCAGCGTTGTTCTTTCCGTCCGCACCCGTTTCATAACAATTTTATTTTAGGGAAAAAGGCGGGAGAGCGGGAAAGAGATTTTTACACAAATTACACTGCCGGGCCGGAGACTTACTTAAACAGTAAGTAAAATAATTTCATTACCGTCTGTTCAGATCGTTTTGATAGGTCAATCCTGATCTACATATAGAGCCACTTTCATATTTATGTGAGGTGAAAGGCAAAATAAGTGCCTCAAGAATTATTTTTTCAAGCTATTCAAGGCATTGTCGTGGTCTTGCACAGTTTGCAGCAACAATGCCCCCAAAAAAGGCCAGGAGTAAGAGTCAGACCAAGTCCAAGCCGAAGTCAGTCAAGAAATCAGGTAGGGTACTTTAAAGTTTAATTATGTGTGCAGTTTTTTAATAGAAATATTCTGCAGACCACGTAAGGGGGAGGGCGCCATCTGAAAGTGCCGTGATTTGGATTTGGGTCTAAAATATGAAGAGATGTGGGCATTCCCGAACTTCCCAACCTAACAGCCACCGACACAGGGGGTTTCAAGGGGAGAGTAAAAGTGATCTGGTTACAAGGGGGCACCGGGCACCCTGTTTTAACCCATAAACTTGTTCAATATTTTGCAGATTTGATTTTTTTTTTTAAATTATAATTTGATTTGCAATCAGTTTTAGTGGTGTGATGTGCAGCACTGCAGCAAAAAATATTAGAGTACATTTGTGTGCAGGACGAGCGAAATTTAAATTTTACCCAATTAGGGACTGAATGAAGACATTTCAGCGATTGTTAAGATTCCCGCGTTTAATTCCGATGTGCGTTTTTCATACCCTCAGGCATATTTCGCTTTGGTCCCTCACCCTAACCCTGGCCCTAACCCTAACCCTAACCCTAACCTAGGGCAGGGTTAGGGACCAAAGCGAAATATGCCTGAGGGTATGAAAAACGCACATCGGAATTAAACGCGGGAATCTTAACAATCGCCAACATTTCTTGTTCATTTTATTATTGTGGGGATTAAATCGTTTTTTGTTTAATTCTACTTTTTATACACTTACCTGCACCTCTATTCATTTTCAGGATGTTCTTGCACAGATGATAACATGTCTGCAGAAGTCGGTTTCCATGATTTTTCTGCTACAGAAATCTCTCAGATGCGTCAAAATCTTTTGTCTTGGTATGACAAGAAAAAGCGTGACCTGCCCTGGAGAAATGTACGGTTTAAAAACACGTTGACTTTTTTGTCTTCTGGTGGACTAATAATATTAGTTTTATGTTCCAATTCAATCGTGGTATCCCTTCTTCATATAAATGTGCCATTATTATTTTCCTGCTGTAGGCATTCTTTCAATGTAACCTTAGCACGGTAAATTTTATAATGAAGAGATTCATTGAAGGTTGTCAGAATTAGATTATATGACGTCAATGATTTTTTAAGATAATATGTTTTATCAAAGTTTCATTTTTATTTCACAGTTTTAAGTGAAACCATGTTTCTTCTCTGAAAAACATTTATGGCAGCAGTATTATGAAATGGGGAGAATATACACTCAGCATTTATTTCATTGTTCGAACACTTTTTTAATTTCTTTCTTTGTAGCCTATAATGTGCAATCAGGCATCACACTCACTCTGTATTGACATTGTTTATAGTATTATATTTCTCTATGCTTACTGTATATTATCTAATCCTCAGATAACAACAGAGGATGTTAATCAGCGTGCATATGCTGTGTGGGTTTCAGAAATAATGCTGCAGCAGACACGAGTTGCCACAGTTATCAACTACTACAACAGATGGATGAAGGTAAGGGAACAAATTCCAAGAAGGCAGAGGTTGTTGGTGGCTCTGCTTCATGTTCAGATTGCAAGTCAAAATTCTGGGATAAATTCCTCCTTGAAAATAGGTTAATGCCTGAACAATGTATGTTTTATTTTACCAATTTTTTGTGGAGATTTTTTTACACTGATTACACATTCAATTTTGTTTTAGTTTGACTTTGGTTGTTATTGTGATTGCACACGGACAACTGTATGTTTAGCTTGGTATCTGTGGTCCTTAGGAGGGCTGTGTAAAATTGTCTGTTGCGTTTATTAAAAAAAGGCTTGTGCATTACTTTGACTACTTTCTTTTCTTCTTTGCGTTCCTCCGCTACATCTCAGTTGTAGTCGACTGCTGGTTCTTCAGCCTGCCCTGCAGTGCCACTGATTTTTACGTACATGATCGTTTTTCCTACTTCGTAGGGCCGCTTTTGCTATCTGGCAACCACATTCCAATTTCGAAGGTTCTCTTTGTTTTTTATATGCTGCCGACTAGAGTATCTTTTTTTCAGTTTTTAGTTGAATTTTGTGTTTGTGGCAGCCAAAGCCTACTCTTATCGATTTTAGAACCACATAGTAGGGATCTTTAACATTCACAACTTGCATATATGGGATCCCCGGAATTTTTCACCCTTATCTGAGAAGGCTAGGTGTTAGGTCTTACCTGCCCTAAGATCAGGGGTGTGGCTGAAAGACATGTAAGAAAGAACCGGGAGAACAGTAGAAAGAGTCAAAAGTAAAGGGGAGAGGTCAGAGGTGGGGGAGGGTGGGGGGAGTGGAGTTGAAAGCAGGTGACAGAACAGGACTAGAGATCAGGGGAGGGGAAAGGAAAAAATTAGGATGAAGAAAATTTTTCATCACTGTCAGGATTCTAACCCAGGACATACTGAATAAGAGGCGAACATTGTACCTCAAGATCATAGGAGCCCCTTTTTTTCTTTGACTGCTGTAACCTTAAATACTTGAACTTTTTATTCTTTTTCAGAAATGGCCTACAATTCAAGCTTTAGCTTCAGCTGACAGCGAGGTAAGGGCTATGCAGAATTCTTCCTTGAATATGAAATACAGTGGTCTCCGCTTAAGAACTGCTGTTTCCATGAACAGAAATTTTATTTATTATTCTTTTGTTCCGTGTAATTTGCGTCCCTTAGAACCTGTCTAAAGATAGAAATCAATGGCAGAATTTGTTGTGAGCAGGGAGCAATATAGACCTTTCAGGGTGGCCAGGGAAGTCGTAAATGTTTTTTCTGTCGGATAAGTCGGATTTTTGTGGGAAAAATTTTGTTCCGATGGAAATGGTTGGATAAACGTCGCCAATAAAAGGATATTTGTGGAAATCTGTAAATTGCCTCGCTGTAAAACCCGGGAAAATACATAAAAGTTATCAAATATCTGAAAACCAAATTGGATAACGTCCGTAAGTTCATTTTTGCTGGTCACAATTGTGATATTCATTCGGCTTTGCCTGGTCTGAGAGTACGTTTCATGCTGACAGGCGGCTATGGCAGCAAGCGAAAGTGTATGTGTCATGTGATACCGAGGCTCGATCGGGAAATTCGAGATCTACTTTCGCTTTCATTACCACCCTAAAATTTGCCGGTAATAGTTTGATAACGCAACGTAATGTACATTATAACATGCAGTTTGTTCATTAGAAACGCTGTGTCGCCATGGCCATGAAAATAAATCTATATTCGTCACTGTGGTGTTGCTTGTGTAAAAAGAAAAAGTTATACAAGCGTCTGGTCGGGCTCGCTATCTTGACCGGTCAGTGAACCTGCACGTCCGTATCACATGATAAGGCATCGTGTGAGTAGGCCTACCGGTGAATGTTGGGGTCTCCGAAATTCATTCTAAGCCTGGGCGCTGCGAAGTATAGGACTCCGGAATTGCGGGATTATTGATTTTTTGTAAAAGATTATTAGATACACTTGGGGGAGGGGGGGGGGGTTTGAAGGCAACACCAGGGGAAAAAACTGAACTTGGTAGCAAAATTTAAGCCTTAGCATTTAGAATTTTGATTGGTATTAGAAGGAAAGACCCATACAACCCGACATGCATTATAAACGACAAAGAGGGAAACGCCATTCTCGGCAAAAATGCAATTAAGAAAAGATGGGAAAATTACTTCCAAGAACTGCTCAACCCAGACGCTTGCCACGGACAACAAGTAGAGTTCCAACCATCATATGGAGATCAAACAGAACCACCAATACTTCCCAGTGAAATAGAAAATGCACTCAAGACCAGCCCCAAGAACAAAGCCCCAGGACCAGATGACATCACAGCGGAAGCCATAAGAGCTTGTGGAAACACTGGTATACTGTGGCCGAGGCGAATTTTCAACAGAGCCTGGGAACAAAGAAAATGCACAGAAGACTGGCAGAAAGCCATAGCGGTACCATTATGGAAAAAAAAAGGGCAACAAACGCGACTGCACATTAAGCCACTCAGGAAAAATGTATGCAAAGATACTAGAGCAGCGCTTAAGACCTGTTGTAGAGAGAAATCTGAGCAAAGCTCAGTTTGGTTTCTGAAAGGGAAGAGGATGCACGAAGGCCGTATTCGCATTACGACATATGCGAGAAAACAATCGAACACAACAAAGCATCCAACATCGTCTTTATAGACCAGGAGAAGGTTTTGACAGAGTAAACCATGCAAAACTTTGGAAGACACTCGAAAAGTATGGCGTCAGAGGACAAATGTTAGATAATGTCAGAGCTCTATGTTCCAACAGCAGAAGCTCAGTAAGAACGAACGAAGGCAATGCAGACTGGTTCAAAGTAAGATCTGGAGTACGACAGGGATGCGTTCTTATCTATCTCCCCTCCTGTGTATAATATATATGGACACAATAACGCAAGAAGCAAACGAAAGCCCAGAAAGCCTAAATGAATTTCTGTTCGCAGACGACCAATGTCTTATTCATCATGACCAACAAAGCCTCCAAAATCACACTACCGAACTCAACATCACCTGTGAGAATTTAACATGAAAATAAACACATCAAAAACAGAAGTTATGAAAGTGAGCCGAAACCATAGTCCCCTGAACATCTATGTCAATAGTAAACAACTGAAACAGGTGAAGGAGTTTGAATATCTTGGCAGCACTTTTTCTGAAAACGGGTCCATAGACAGAGAAATAGAAATGCGAACTCAAAAAGCCAACTCTGTCATCTACCAGCTCTCACCCCTCCTATCTCATCCAAACATCTCCATGGACATAAAGAGACAGCTTATCATCTCAATATTCATACCAACATTATGTTATCAGTGCCAGACCTGGACCTTAAGCAAAACCCATGAAAGCAAAATCACCACATGCGAAATGAAATGTCTCCGCAAAACCCTTAACATCACAAGACGAGACAGGCAGAGAAATGAAGAAGTAAGAGCAGCTATCGGCACTGAGTCCTGCCTGCGTTACATAGAAAGACAGAGGATAAAATAGTGTGGCCACCTGTTACGCATGTCACCTGACCAGCCAGCCTCGAGAGCCTACAACACCAAACACTCAGGCTATAAAGGAAGAGGAAGACCACGCAAAAGGTGGATTGAGGGTGTCAAGGAAACCCTAAGAAAACATAACATCACAACTGAAAAAGCTGCGGAGCTGGCCTACCATAGAAAACTGTTTCTCCCCTCGATGCTTAACGGCAACAGAGGATGAAAAAGTAAAAGTAAAGTAAGTATAACATAGCTGCCACTTTCCCGCTAAATAGCGGAAACTCCGCTTCATCTAGCTTTTCCTGTTACTTTCCTCCTTCCCCCGCTGGACCGCTCTCGGTCGCAAATTGCGATACTTTTTTACACGCGGAAAACACCGAACCGGGAGAGAGACGAAAACGCAGCTTGGGCATGTCCGCCCATAGCTTTCTACTTCCGTTCTTCTAGGCCTAGCGTTAGTTTCACTTTGTTTATTGTGGAGCAACAAAGTGTCGATCGGGCATCGGGACGTTGGCGCGCCGAGTTGTCATTGAAAACGGCGGAAATTCGAGAGAAATTGATGCAGAATACAAAAATAAAAGGTGCTCGGCTTGCTGCACTTTGCGTTTGGTGCGATAAAGAAATCGCGGCGCGCGGCGCTCCTGTACAATTGCGGTCCCATTTGTTAACATGACGGCTATTGTGGCTGTTGAAGTTGAAGTGAATCTAGATCTAGATAATCTATCTCTAGATATAATCTAGATTTACTCATATTTAGATTTCTAGATCTAGATTAGATAGCCTAGGCTTCCCATACTTTTAATTCAGGTTAGATCTACACTCTACAGAGGGACTACTAAGTTATGTGCAAACGGGGCCGCAATTGTACAGGAGTGCTCAGTACAGCGGCAAAGGTGTTGTCTCCTTGATCCAATACTGCGCGCGCTCTACATTGATGTACAAGTTTAAAGTGAAAGAAATCTTTTTATAAGACACCAGCTTGCAACAAACACTGGATTTTTAGTCACCAAGTCCAAACTGTCAAATTGACTCAAATGCTTGTTAGTCTACTTAGTGCCTTCGTTGGGGTTTTTTGGTTGTTGTTTTTTTTCAAATACATTTTAATTCAGTTGCCTATGGTTAACAAATATGACAGTTTTCCCTTCCAAAACCATAGGCTAGATTTTCCAGTATATATTGTCTCTGGATCTCACTGGTTTTACTCCATCCTTCGGAGAGCGCGTGTCCGCCTTCGCATGAATTTTCTCCTTTTTTTGAAATTCCTGAGTGGCAGCTATGGTATTAGAATCTAGAGCTCTCTGCAAAGCACGTGTTGGTACAGGCCTTGTGTGGAATCGGGACCCATCATAGGCCTACCTTGTAAGGTTTGCGTTTCATTGGATGGGTGATAATCGAGGCGAGCTTATATCGATCTTAAATCGATCTTAAAATCATATGGCTTGATCTTCCTGACTTTGTGAAAAGAAGAAACTTTTGTGAACTCAGTCACAATGCAGAGTGTGAGTCGTGAGTGACTAAGTTGGTTGGTGAAAATGACAGCATCTAGATTCTTTGTCTATGACCATGGAAAAACTCAGCAAGATAGTCTTTGAAGTGTAGAAGATTGACAGCACTTGGGATACTGAAACCTAGGCCAAAGACAGACTTTTTTCTTGTGATATTTGTGGCTATATGTGTAGACTAGATTAAGAGAGATCTAGACTAGATCCAGTATCATGGGAAAGTGCTACTTCATCAACACTGAGTGGTTGTCTAACCCTAAATATTCAGAATGATTGATGGAATACCCAAAATGACGAAAGCAAGTTAAGATGTAAGTTTTGTTCCCAGGTGTATATATTAGTCCTTCAGGTGCAGTCTTTGAACACTCACATGGTATCTCAAAAGCACATGAAAGTCCAAGCCAGCCAGTGTGGTGCCAAATCTATTCTTAGCTTTACCAAGAACAGAACAAGTGTTTATGAGCGATACTGAAAGGAGCACCAACAATAACCACAGCAGTTGTTGACTTGAGTCTTCTCTATCGTGAGATGTTTTCAGACTCTAAAATAGCTGAGTTTTCAATGTAGTCGCACAAAACTTGGCTACCTTGGAACTTTTGGGATCGCGCCTGTGATCCAGTCAGTTATCCTAAGATGTGTACGAAATAACCCCTTCTAAGTGATTCTCTGTGACGAAAGCCTTAAAATTGACAATGGCAAGAAACAACTTGACTTATGGTAGTAGGGTTGTTTTTGATGTGGTAGGATTTTTAGGAGTAAGATTTCCCTGGCCACCCTGCCTTTCTGAGCCAACCTCTCTCTCTTTCTACGCATGTCAGTGTCACCAATGAGTCGCCATAGAATAAGATAGGGAAGCCAACAGGTTGGAGAGGAGCTGAGTTATGTTCCTTGAAACCACTGTGTTTATTAATGAAAAATTATAAAGGCAAATACCGAAATATTTCATGATTCATGGTATTCAGTAAAATCGTAGTGTATAGAGATGAAAATGCAGATTACTATGAAGTTATTATATTTAGCTTCGCTATGATTTTTTCAAAGAGATAAAGTCGGCGGTTGCCCCATCACTCATTGCTGCTTCCCCACCAGTAGGGGCACCACTAGATATACTTCAATTTTTCCGAAGGATTGTATCTCTACTCTACTTTTTGTCATTTTTTCGCTCTTTTTCATACTTGCCTGTTGACTGAGGGTCTGGTATAGCCAATTATTCACAACATAGGGTTCTATTTTCGGAATGACATTTGCATCGTGTAGTAATAGAAGGGCCTTACTCTCATTTAAACTTCACTTTTGAAGCATTTGAAAACTACATATATTTCCGCACAGAGTGTGAATGATGCCTGGGCTGGTTTGGGCTACTACTCAAGAGGACAGCGTTTGTTGGATGGTGCTAAGAAGGTATGTGAGAATTTATTAGAATTTATTAATTTTGAATATATTAGCTGTACTTTAGCTCAGAGCTTTTTGCACTGCCTACTTCTTTGTGTGAATGTGCAAAAGAGATTAAGGAATACCCATTTGTTTCAAATAACTTGTGTAATGATTTGCTATTGTATTGTCTTGTGATGGAAATTATTAGTGCTTCAACAGTTTGTTATTTTCAAAAGCTGTTTGAAGTGTTGTTCCTGTTACCATGCATGATTAATATTTTGTCTTTATTTTCATGCGTTATAAACTAACACTGTCTTAGAAGCATGCTATGTTTGAACTTTTAACTTGTATAGTAATATACTTCAAGTACTTTTCCCTTCACAGGTTGTTGAGGAATTGGATTCTCAGGTACCCCAAACAGCTCAGGATTTGGAAAAGCAGTTGCCAGGTGTGGGGCGTTACACAGCAGGGGCCATTGCGTCCATTGCATTTGGCCAGGTATGAGTACCTTGTATTCAAATCTTTGCTGTGTCATTACTCTTTTGTCTGTAGATGAAGTGCTGTCTTTTCTGTTTGCCGATTTGTGTGCATACCCTTGGGATATTGCTGTTGCGGAGGGGCCTGGAAAATATGGCGTTTGGGTTATGTAGGTTGTCATATTTACTGTGAACATTTACTGCTTACATCCTGGAGACTAATGGGAAATTTTACTCCTGTTCTATCTGGAGTTGTCGTTTTCTGTCTACTTTCTTGTGTCAGAGAGAGATTTATTTCTAACAAGGAAAGGAAAGGGAATGAAATTCATCCTTACAAGGCGAGAGTGATGATCGAATTTAGGGTGTTTAATTCATCATGTCAAGATCTTTGGACAGAAATTTTTCAGTTAACTAAATCTACATTAGCTAAAAGCATTGTTTGCTTTATGTGTAATTTTTAGTTGCTGAAGCTCCGAGTCGACACATTTGTTTTACCCTCATATTTCATTTATTATATTCTAAAAAATGTGTCATAGTGAACATATTTCTGTTTGTTTAGGATAAAACTAAATTTCTCACTCAGTTAACTGTACCATTATTTTTCTTATTGTTTTCCTTGTATCCAAAGTTTTTTTCTTTTCAAACTCGAATAGGCAACTGGCCTCGTAGATGGTAATGTCATACGAGTCTTGTCGCGTCTTCGCATGATTGGCGGGAACATCAAGCAACCAAATGTGGTGGATGCATTTTGGTGAGCTTTTGCAATAAGCAAACTCATTGTCTAGATTATTTTTTCTAGAGTCACTTTGTTACTTCTATAAATTTCAGTTCTCACTTGTTTGTTATAGTCATAATAGCAATTGAAGTAAAAATGTTTGTATTGATCTCTTGTTTTTTATTACTGTAATGGTTGTGTGCATTGGTGTAAGATATTATTCTTTGTTGGTATCAGGAACAAAGGAATTCAAATGATTGAATTTGTTCTTCAAGAATAGCTTTACACTTATGTTGTCAAAAATGTGTTCCCTACTCTCTTTGCTCATACCTCAATTTCATCACCAAAGTTTGAAATGTGGTGAGTTTAAAGTTCAGATTATTTGGTCTGTTAACGTGTAGCAAACTGACGAATGCTGTAGGTTTTTTTTCCCCAATTTGAGTACTACAGTCAAACCCTGATAAACGAGTAGCAGACAATTACATTTACAACTCCAGCTGAACTTTAAGTAAGTTCAAATTAATTGAAAGTTTCTGCCAGATTAGAAGCTAGGTTAGATTATGTGTCAAAGACCCTGTAGATGTATATTTTTGAAACTTGATACTCGTTAGTGGTGGGGCCACCTCAGAACTTTTACATAGTATTGTGAGACCTCACAATATAGAAACTTCAGGGGTGCCCCCAGCCTTTTGGTCGTGGGGCTGATGTCTTGGAATGCGAAATATTTTGCTCACAGGCCAAGATGACGCAGTTCTTTTGAAGTTTCTTCAGGCGATTTTAAGAATTTCGTTCTAAATTTTTAAAAATATATATTGGTCAAAGCTTAAAAATAATAGCATTTTCCTAATCAGCACAAATCGGAGACAAATGGTAGAAATAGGCCAGACTGGCAGAGACTGTGGGAAAGAGATTATCAAGCTGCCACTGAGTGAGTGCCATGTGTAGTGTGTACCTCTGACGACCAATTCACTGGCCAGATAACAGGGCAAATTTACATTAGTTTAACAGAGACTATACAACTCACACAGTTGGCAGAGATGGTGTCAAGGATCAAATTATAATGTGTATCAGTGTTTCTTTTCGTACATTGGCAAAACCTGACGCAAAGTAGGGCTGGCAGTATAATGAGGTTTGACTGTACTTCTTTTGTTGTTTCTATCATTGATGAATATTTTATATTACAACAATATAATTTGTTGTCAATGTAACAGGATAACACTTATTGTTTGTGTGTGTGTATCTCGGGTGCTTTTTGTAGTCAATCCTGTTTGTACCCTGTATGTTTTCTACATCTCCCCACCCTCAGAGATTTAATCATTTTGGTCCAAGGCCAATATTCTAGTTACCCCTCACTTGGACATAACTTCTCTTTCTGCAGTGGAACCTGGTCTGTTTTGCTACAAACCTTGACATTTTAGTAGTGTCTGAAAGAATCGTCTTTTTAAAAAAATTCATGTTTTTTTTTTTTAGAATAAGAATACACCGCTGTAACATTTGTTTTAAAATTTGATTCTACTTAGGTCTCTTGCAAACAAATTGGTGGACCCGGATAGGCCTGGCGACTTCAACCAATCTATGATGGAGCTTGGGGCAACAGTTTGCACCCCAACGACCCCTGCATGTGAGCAGTGCCCTGTGAAATCCCTTTGTCGAGCGTACTCAAAGGCAAGGAACTTGAGAGTTTTGGATAATGTTATGTACTTCTTATCTCTGACCTCTTGTTGGAAGCCCATTTGTTGCTAGATTAATGAATTTGAGAGTGAAAGTATGATTGAATATACATTCATTTTGATACAGGTAACCAAAGATAGTACATAACAAGGTGGGCCACTCAGCCAAAAAAGTGTCTGCAGGAAGTTCGCTCTTTGCTGCAGTCTGTTTTGAAGCTCTCTTTCGTTTTTCCAGAAGAAGAATAGGAATAGCACCTCTTTGCCTGCGCAGATCGACTGCAGTTCATCAGCAGTTCGGGTTCGTTCAGTGTAGAGTTTTAGTTTTAAAAAATTTTAATGACCTCTCGCCTTTCATTCTAAAGTCAAATTAAACGAAGAAAACAATCACCCTTTCCTCCGGAAGAGGTTTTTTGTCAGCGTAACCATTAAAAAAAAGTGTTCTTCCGAAATTTATTCAAAAACTTGCTAGTTTCACTTTCATTTTTTAAACTCAAGTAGGGTAACTCTGTTCGCAAAAGGTGCGCATTTGTGAAGAGGGCGCCACCGAATTTTGAGGACACTTTTTTAATTGGCTCAAAGAGAGAACTGGCCCCTCTTGTTATGTAGACTCTTTGAGGTAACTAACTATTGGCTCTTTGTTTGTATATGTACAGTCTAATTTATTCCCTTCCCTAGATCAGTAAGTTTATACTGAATAAATTCTGTTCATTTTTCTAATTAGTTTCTTCTATGAAAATAATTTTCTTATACTTTCGCGTTTTCTATGTAGGTAGAGAGACTGAAGAAGTCGTCCTCTTTGAAACTTTGTACCTCTCCCAAGGTGAAGGATGAGAAACCAGCTCTTGTTGATATTGAATGTTGTGAGTAAACTCGTTTTTAGTTTTTGTGAGGGGGGAGGGGGTGTCGAATCAGGGATGCCATTTTTCTGTAGTTTTAAGGCTATTTTGGTTATTTTTTCACTAAAAGGACACACAAATATTATTCTAAGTATTTGTTTTCTATTTAACCTCCATAATAGTTGTGTCTATTAACTGTTCTTTTGTTTGCAAATGCAGCTTTGTAAATTTTCAGTTATGCTCACTGAATCCCAGTGATATCCCTGAAAATTGTTAATGACAATATTGTTTTCAAATTAGTTAGAGTGACTTTTAGTTAGTTTTATTTATATAGCGTGGGCTATTTTGCATGTGGTACTTTTTCAGCGATATTATGCTGTCTTCTTTGGCGTGGCTGTGACAATATGTCATTACTGAAGTATCCTTTCCCTCTGTAGGTTTGAATGAGAAAACTATGGGCATAATTCAAGTGCAATGTTTACTATTTAGTATTGTCAGAAGAATAGACGAAGTTATGCTACTATTTTTGATGACCTTATGTTTTTTTTGTGTTCAGTGGTGCCTGACTGCAAGCTATGTCTTCCTGCTGGTGAGCCGTGGAAGAAAGAGTATGTGATATGATACCTTTCCTTTTATTTATTTGACCATAAAAGAGCAGTTATAAAATTAGACTGATGCTTAAAAAACTTTTCATTTTAAAATTATGAACTTTATATTGTGACTTTATGTTATGGTACTGTGTAGAGTACAGAGACATTAAGAAGTGTAGATTATAGGTGCGGGTAAGCTGAGTGCATTCTCATGGTGTGGATGATCTTCTTGAGAGTTTAAGCACAATGGTTTAAATTATTGCCAAAATTATTCTATGAGCTACAATTGAAAAAAACATAAACAACTGGTTTCTTTCTTCCTTGAATGTTTTGTCACTTATGAAAAATTATTCACAAATTGATCTTACGAAGGTGCTTTCTTTGAAATCTTTTGCTTCGGTGCATCGAATATTAACTCACTTCAGACGGGTCACACAACAGTTGCGTGACCCCCGCCGCGACGCTCGCGACGGGTCTCACAAGCCCTGCGTGACCAACTTTGGAATTTTTTTTTCGCTCTACAAATCACGCACGAATCGCGAGACCCGCCTCGTACTCTTGTTTGGCCAAGCCTGAGCTACTTAGACTTCGTTTCGTATCTCTGGGGCCGGTAGTTTTTAAGTTATTGAAGGTGAAGGACAGTGACCCCAACTGGGGTTGAACAGACCGGAACTCGAGCTTTGTTTTTTTCTATACAGCTGATAGTAATCCGACAGTCGCGTCGTAGTAACGGTCGAAGAAGTCGCATGAAAAAGAATCACATAATTTCGCCGTTTTCTATACTTCTGTGCGTTTTACTAGTTCTAGTGTCTCAGAATATGATATGTCTAATAGTTAGGATCCTGGATATGTACCCGAACACGGCCTGAGTCGTAGTTCTAGGGCTAGATCTAGCACTAGTACCGGTGTTGTTTTTCGCGCAACTAAATCACAACGACGTGCCGTACATCTGTCTCATGTAATTCAGTGTATGGGTCTGAATCAATGCACAGACCAGCTTTTATATTTTCACCAAACACTCGCAAATGTATACAAATCAAACCAGAACATTTGAACTTTTATTTTTGTTGTTGCAGTGAATTTCATTCTACTTGTCACGTCTCTGGAAATTTTTCGGAAAATCAAATTCATGCCAATGTTAAAAAAATCATACAAATTAAAGTATTAGACTTAGACAACTTTAGTTTTTTGTATAAGATTAAGCTTGAATGTTACTTTACTGTGTCAAAAAATGATTACAATAGGGTAATTCTGAGAGTTGTGGTGATTTATTGAAATACCCCCAAAAACGCCAGTCTTCAACGCTTGTGACTGATGAAAGGGCCCAGTCGCAAGTGAGTTAAACAAACTTGCTGATGTGAAAAAAATTGAAAAGTGAGTATGTGGAGCTGTTGAATGAATTGAGGAGTGTCATATTGCTCTAAAGAAAGCTCATCAAAGTAAACAATGGAACTAAAATTGATTATATTGGGTTGGATTTGGAGGAAGGAATAGTGGATCTGAATGAGAACATAAAAGTGAAAAGATAAAGCTGTCAATGGTCAATAGAGGTAACTTTCAAGTAAATATTAGACTACCTTTTGTATGTTCCATGTATTCCACTTCATTAAAAAGAATTTTACACTCCTCCTTTCCTGGTGTATCCTCAGTGTCATTAATTTCCTTACAAATATGAGCATTTTAGGGTGAATGTTCAATGGGAATATCTGCCTTAAAAGTGTGGTTGGAATGTTGGGTTCGTGGTAGATACAATCTTTTCTGTGGGTCCCCTGTATGACTAAGGCACCAAAATCATGTAAACAGTTCAGTTTCAATTTTATGGGTTCTGTGAACAGGTGGTGTTTTGTTGGTTTTAATGGAAAAAAGCGTGCGAGATTTTTCCTTCTGTGGTGGGGCCTTTGTCAGTGAATGGAAGATCCACAGTATTGTCTCTGCGTCATGCAATAAGGGTGGCACAGGCTTTTTGAGGCACACTGTTTCTTTGTTTTTGTTATGACTCTAATGACAACCACAGAATGGAAGCTGATATAGTTTGCTACAAAAGTACAGTATCAAGATTAATGTCTCTATGGGACTGTTAACACCTCCTCTGCGACCAACTAGAATACTCACCTCCTGACTTCAGGTCCAGTCACTTGAGTTGACTTAGAAGAACCGTGTCAACTTTTCTTAAACCTAATCCATGTTTTCTATACATTCGTTAAGCACTCATTTTTTGTTTATTTGTGAGGCATATGTTGCAATCAAAACTACTCCATTTGTAGAGATTTGTGTGGTTTAAATTATAAACACAGGCAACAGCCCTGGTTCTTGCTGGTCTGTTAGTCAAAGGACAGATGGACACTTACGTGTTAAAAAGGTCCATTTTGAACCGTATGCCTGTTGTTGTGGGTGTACAAAGCAACGTATTAATCTAAAAGACACACTGGTTATCTTCTCTTCCATGTTCGAACCATGTTTCTTTTTAGATGTCGGTTCTGGCTCACTCTTTACTATTGATGTCTTTTTTCAAGGGTCAACTTTCTTCAGTTCTGCCACCTACCCTAGACTGCCTAGGCTATGGGGTGGGCTATTTTTTTGTCTTTCACAAATCACAGTTTTGAAAAAAATTGATCAGTTTTGATTATGAGTTTGAGACACCCATTTAGCTTATGCATGTTTCTAAAAAGTTTCCCTTTTGTTTTTCTTCCTAATTTTTACATATTTTAATTTTGTTCTTTCAGATTAGGTGTCACGAATTTTCCCCGCAAACCAAAGAAAGGCTCTGTTAGACAAGAGACTCTGAATGTGGTGCTACTTTGTAATAAAACAAACTCAGACTCTACACAGCAATACCTGATTTGTAAAAGACCAAAGAAAGGTGAGTTACCGTGGTATGGTCATCTTAGACTAGAAAGGCTGATTTTGAGATAAAGAGAAGAAATAGATTAGGAAAATCAACTACTTTTGTACGATTGTGATTAGTTTAATTAATGTTGACTGTCTGAAGCCATATTATATCTCTAAGAAGCTTAGTGCCCCTAGAAGTAGGGCTAGTGAACTTTGTTCTTAGTCTTAATTAGCCTGCTCTCAGGTTGAATTTAGAGCACATCTTTCCTCAATCTTTGCATTGTTTATTGGATACAAGCATACATCATTGTCACTATGTGGACTTAGTCTTTTTTAAGTAATTAAATGGCTTTTATAGAAGCAGTTGATGTACCGTAATGGAAAAGTGTCCATGTTTTGATGAATCCATTTGAAAGAATTGTACTTTGAGTGGGCCAGTATTCATGAAATAATTCATATCTTATTTTATTGTGAAGAATCTAGAGCCACCAGGGAGTAAGTGCTATAGAAGTGATCTTTATTTTTATTATTATTCATAGTGTGGTAGTCAAAGATCTAATGAACAGATCGTATCATATGATTAACCCTTAAAACCCTATACTGCTGGTAACCGCTTACGCCGTATTTTTCTATACCGCTGGCCAACTTTATCGTTTAATTCCCAGTGCTAGAAACAGGGGATGTAACTCCAGATGACTTTGTCGCGAGCAGAAAGTACCGATAATGTCATGAGAGCAGTTCTACACTGAAAGTTTGGAAATTTTGCGAGTTTTTAAGAAAAATTAGTCACTTTTCGCTGCCAGGCCCTTCAGGCGGCAAAATTTTTTACATTTTTTATCCTGAACCAGACCCCTATAATGATCTCCCAGTCGCATATATAGATAAATATGACCGTTGAAGACGACTGCAATGTTCAGCATAACATCGATGATGATTTTGACGATAGTGGAATTGGCAGGGGATCACCACTAAAGCTACCAGAGGCTAGATCTACGGCTAGGTCTAATGATACTTTGACTGAAGTGGAGTCGGGGATCACACACAAGACTTAACTCATAGAGTTGGTCCTAAAAACCAGTGTTTTAACCTTTTCCCCTTTTGTTCAGACTGTGCATTCATATATAAATAACATTTTCAAACTTCAGTAAAATCTAACAACAATTAAAGACACAGTAAACAAAACAATGAACCAACCTAATTTTTTCTAGTATCTCAATTTTTATTCAGGATTCTAGGGAGGTATGAAAAAAAAAGAATTCAGGGTTTTAAGGGTTGATTAGCCATGAGAATTTAACTGTCTGTTACTGCACACCTTCGACAACTTTTACTTTCACACATTTGCATCATGAACATGGTCTGTCAGAATAAAAATGAAAGACATTTACTGTAGAACATGAATATAGCGGCACCTGCTATAGCGGGACCATCCCTACAGCGGGATCTTGTTCCTATGTAAACCCAATTATTTATGCTTGGATATAGCGGGGCAAAAAAAGTCCCCATCTCGGATACAGCGAGAGAGATCAAGCAAGCTCTAGCTGGGGAGTGGGGGGCTGTGGGCGGGTTCCAAACAGGCAGTCAGCTGTGCGCGTTGTGATTGGTTAGTCCAGTGATGAGTGAGGTGGGGCAGGCGGTAGGCTTAGAGAGAGATGGAGAGACGCGTTACGTGAACCACTCCAAAAGTGATGTAGATCTATACAGTAGAACATGACTATAGCGGCACCGCTGCAGCGGGACCTCTCCAGAATCCCCCTTTTTATCTATTTAAATTCAATTACCTAGTTCGGGTTTAACGGAGCAAGGAAAGGCCCGAACTTGGATACAGCGGGAGAGACCAAGCGAGGTCTAGCTGCTGGGAAGGAGTTTTTTTTTGGGGGGGGGGGGGGGGCTGTTGGCAGGTTCCAAACAGACAGTTAGCGGTGCGGCGTTGGGATAGAAGTGATGTGTCATAGCCTAGAAGCTCAATACCGTATAAGAGCGTATAGGCCATAGCCCTAGGCTAGGCCAAAAAGTAAAAAAAGAGGAGAGCATGTAGTGTGTGATTCCTGATTCATTGAATTGCGATCGTTGATGCTCAGGCATACGCACGCATCCACTTCACCAGTTCTACTGCAGGCCAACCGGTACCGGGTACGATAACGATAGGACTGCACAAGCAACAAACCGAGGAAAAGATGGCTTCCAACAAAGACTAAAGGAAATGCTTCTCACTCGAATTAAAGGTCGAGATAATCAAAGAAATTAACAAGAAAAGGAAGACTAATATACCCCTTTGCATTCCTATAGCGGGAACTTGCCTACAGCGGGATTTTTCTTCAGGAACCAAAAATCCCGCTATAGCCGTGTTCTACTGTATTGTTTTTGGAATTTGCCCAGAGCATTGAAGTTTTGCTCAGAATCTTCTTTTGATAGCAAAATTTCAATTTTTCAGGTTTGTTGGCTGGTCTTTGGGAATTTCCAAATCAGATAGACGAAAATGGTAGACAAGACGTAATCCCTTTTGTGGCAAGCTTGTTGAACATGTCTCAGGAAAATATCCAAGGCCTGCAGCTTCTTGGTGGGGTAAGTTTAACTTTTTGCTTTTCTATTATTAGTTCTACTCTGTTCAGTTGATGGTTGCTGGGAGCTCTTTTGTAGCCTTTTGATTTTAAAAAATATTTTTTTTAGAGTTGCTGTTGTGCCAGTCTGATTTTATTAAAATGTGGGTTGTTTGAGAGTTCTTTTTTTTCCCCTCTGTAGTTTGTCTTGCCCTTTCTTGGAATTAAATGACAGTTGGTGCCAATGTGCTTCTGTTTATTATTAACAAGTCAGTGAATGCCATTAACTGGTTTGGATTATGTCACTGCTTTCTGTTTAGTTCATAAATTGTGGGTGGTTGGAAGATGCCATTGGTGGTTGGTCCTACTTTTTGTTTATTCCTATGCCATCCTTTGTTTTCAAGAACTGCGTAACAGTATCGTGTTACTGTTCATCCAATGTAGTTTAGCATTTTTATAGGGAATTGGTATCTGTCTTATCTGATAGTTGCATTTTTAACCCAATGAATGTGAAAGATGGAAAAGGTGATGAATGAAAAGAGGTATATTTTTTAAAGAATTTTACAATTCATGACAATGTTACAACTGGTACTGTTTTTGTTTGCTCATGCTGCTTGACAATAGCTTTAGCCCTTGATTCCTTTTTGTCTGTATAGAATTCTGAACACATAAAAAAAACAACCAAATTGTCTTTTTGTTTCTTTGTTTCTGCATTGGTGATAAGTAGAACTTGTTTTGTGCATTGGATAGCACTAAGTACTATGTCTTATTACTATCCCATTATTTTATCAGTCTTTCTTTCTTTTTGCCAATGCTGAAACATGAGAGTGACTTTCTATATTTCATCACTTTCTAGTTCAGCATCAAATTTTATTTTTCTTAGATTAATATCAAATTGTATTAAGTGTGATGTTATGTTATGGAATTGTAAAAAAGCTTATAATTTGCTCTCATTTTGACATCAGTAATTTCTGCTTATTTTAAATCTTAAAAAAAGATTTTCCATCTGGCATAATCTCTCTCGTGATTCCTGTTGTGACCAGGTGAGCCATCAGTTCTCCCACATCCGCCACATGTATAAAGTGTGGTCAGCCCACGTGTCCCTGACTCCGTCTCAGACTGACCAGTGTGTGGAGGAGTGCACTGACCGTCCACTCAAGTGGATGACAAACGAGCAACTGAAGGGCATGGCCATCCCCACAGGAATGCTCAAGGTCAGTGGCCTTGAGTTGTAAAACTCAAGTAACTGAAAGCATTAACAACAGTACTGAGGGCTCATGCAATGAAAAACCCTTAAGTAACACACCAGCTGAGAGCGCTGAAACCGTTGTAGAGTAATTTAAAAAAATAATGAAAAAAATAAACTCACAGCCCAAGAAACACACTATAAAAATTCCAAGAGTTTTTCGTCAACCATTCAGCTATTGCATAGAGTGACTTCATTTGTTGGTTACTTCGGTGCAGTGTTCATTGTTTATGTTTAGCCTGCCTGATCAATTTGGCTATTAAAGTCGTGAACGGTAATGACCGCTTATTGCAGCCTGACGACAAAGGTCACTGATGGTTAAGGTACCAAAAGTTGTAAATGCTCAGGCTTTAAACATTGTTTAAGTTTATTCATAGAGGAGGACCGCGGAATACAAAGTCCGTCTCCGATAGGACCAAGCAAAGGTGTTGATGGAGAGCCTTGAGCACTCCCCAATCAACCTGGGTCATCCACACCATTATGCAGCATGATACAGCGCTAACGGCACCGATAAAAAAAAATTTCTATTGAAGTTTCATTTGTGTTTAAGAAGGAAATAATAGGCATATTTCAGCGAGGATTCCAAATCAATATGTTGGCCCTTAAAGTTTACACTGGATGGCTGTTTTAGAAAAATTTAGAAAAGGTTAAGACAGTATTGGCACAGAGGAATGTTACTTCTGCCTTACGAGAATAGAAGTTTCGCACTAAACCTTTAGCCAAACACATTTTTGTGTCAAATTCTCTTATGATACTGTAATCAATTAATAAATAGTATAAGCAGAACCTAATTTTATTTCAAATAATACATGGCTGTTTCTTGCGGAGAAAATAATACAGTCAACTCCACTTGAGTTGTTCTTTGGTTAAGTTGATCTTTTTGTTAGGTCCCAGCACCTCTTCTTCTTTACATTTGTTAAAGTCAAACAGTTAAAAGCATAAATATGCTTAAGTTGAAGTGTTTTTTTCCTCCCAATCGCAAATATGCAATGATTGTATTGGTTTTTTTTGGTTCTATGTATAACGTCAGAGCTCAATGTTTCACAGCAGTTTTGACACAAGTGAACTTAGTGAATGTAATGTTATTGATCCAGAAACTGAATGTAAAAGTACAATTATGTAGAGCTGATGAATGCACAATAATAAGCCTACATAATACCTCGATGAAACAGTGAGGGGAACGGAAGAGTGTTTGTACATGATGTATTTGACACCATGATTTGATAACCACATCCGTTTCCATTTGTAGATTCCCCTCCCCTCAAGACCAAAGGGTATGGTGCGTCACAAGGCAATGTTCAATGAGTAATACAGTAAAACCTCAATATAAGTTATACCATACTCGACTGAAAACTTACTCTCAACTGTAACTTAGTGTAACTATTACTTCCTGAAGTCTGAATTCCCAGTAAGAATTTTTACCCTTAAAAAATTATGTCTAAAATGCACCTGTGTAGAATGTTCTTGTCCCTCATAATGTTCACTCTTCGAGAGGCATTACTTCCACTTTTCCGTATTTTTACGGAAATCCCTGCTTTCTGCCAGTTCTGTACTTGTTCCTCCACCATTCTCAACTCCCTCCATAAAAAGCTGCGACAGCATAGGACTACCGAAATTCCGTAGCAAAAGATCCGTACTCGCCTTCGTATCGTCTAATACTAGTATAAGTTACGGATATTTACGGTAATTCTCTCGGCAATAAGTTAATGTTATAGAAACCTGCCAGATTGCGCATTTCCTGCAATCGGCCATTATCCCATATGCTCCATGCATTCATTGCGGGCTTGTCGGCAGTACAATTTAACCTGTGGATTGATCAAAATCTGGCAAACTTTTTGTGCCAATTTCTTCCTTTCTATCATTCTCTCATTCCGTCTGTCTATCTTCGGATTGTTGCCGCGGCTGGAAAATCTGCGCGTTGATCAAGTAAATTGACTTGTGATCTTAGATGGAAAATACTGTCAGAAAGAAACTTTTTTACAAATTTGTCTAGATCTAGAGAAATGGTCAGTACGAAAAATCTATGACTCGGGAACACGATTTATATGGGCCGCGATGAAATAAATTTATGCTAAAACCTGCATAAAACTACTAAAGTAAAGAATAATTCGAAGTGGTGTTTCGAGATTGTGATACGCGACATTCAGGCGTGAAATTTAACTCATCCGCTACGTATTATTTTTGGCTTGTGGACGAATTTTTTTCGAGAGGGCGAAATGAGATGATGACTAGTGTGCAGTTCACAGGTCTTTGGGGCCATAAATTCAAATAAATATCAACATATTATATACCAACATTTTCAGTATGGTTTGTAGAATACATCTGTATTATTTATTTGTGTATTTTTCAACTTTGGTTCCTGTAAGAGGCGATTATGCAACACAATTGTGATTGGATGAGGTTAAAATTGGAAAATAAAAAATTTATAATCTCAGGTGAAACTAAAAAAATATGTTTGCACCTAGTCAAATGATACATCAATATAACCATGACTGTATATAGAACAGGAAAATATGGAAAAATGAGCAGTTATTTACATACATTCCATAATATTTGTACATTTGGATCATAACATCCGATATTGAAAAAATAATTTTGAAAAAAAGGATCAAAAACAGAAAAAAATACGCGTATCTGATATGGAATTATTCAGAATTACATTTGGAATAAACCTATACATGTCTTGAGTGGTACTTTTTGAGTAATTTCACCCAAAAGTAGTGATTTTGGGGAGAAAAATATTTTGACTATTTAGATCTAGGCCTAGATCTAGCACTCAAAAATATTGATTTCTCAATTACAGTGCACCGGCAATTTGCGTCCAATAGTATCAATATTATAAAAAAGAGTCCTACTTTTCTTTAGTGAGCAAAATAATGATACATTTTGTTGTGTAAAAGTACTACGGCTGGTGTCTGGGCTATAATTTGAGCTTCGCGATAAAACAAAGTCGAATAAACTACGAAATCGTGTTTCAAAACTGATTCAAAACTTCCGATTCTCGGTGGAAACGCTTGACCCGGAAGTCAACATTATATTATGACCTTTATTTTAATATGATTATGTGGATTGGAATAGAAACCAAGCTAAAATTGAACGTCTCATAGCCGCCGGGGGCGGCTCAGCGTACTGACGGCACTTTAGCCGCGCCGCCCCCCACGGCTCGGCGTAGCGAATGAGTTACGGAAAATTAGGGTATAAGCCGGGTAACTGTATTGCGAAGGTACGTATCTATTCATTATTCCCAGGTTTGCCTTCTATCAATGGTGCGATGGCAAATTAATTGAATTGTAATAGCAATGGAAGGGGAACCTGCTTTTAAACATTGCCATCAATGGAAATATATTATGTAGATCTTGGTGAAGAAATCAAACAAGATAAAATGTTGGTGAAAAAATAAATGTTATGGTTTGCAGACAATCTCTTCAAATAGGCTCCCAAATACCATTTTCTACCCTCAAAAAGTACTACATTTTAATTTCTTCGGGGACTTCGCCCCCTCAACCCCCACCAGGACTCTGTCTCTGGACCCTCTGGGGGCCTATGCAGACCCTTGGCAGAATTTTCCTTATTTTTCAGCTTCAGCTGTTGGAAGCACTGAAGAGGTTTCAGTGGTGTAGAATTCATTTATAATGGACATTTTCACATTGTTAGATAAAGTAAAATGGCAAAAAGTGATAGTTTTACTGTACTCAGGAATACAAAGTAATCAGCTGTGGTGAGAGAGCAGGTTTTTCTCAGAGGTATACGCATATTGTTAGTATTTGCCACCAGTGGATGCTAAAACAGCAACTTGACATGGATGTCTGGTGCCTCATTTAATAAATTATTGATGATGGTCAAGGGCTTGCAACCATTTCGCGCCCCCCTCCTCTGCCTTTCACACATATACACGTACGCCTGAGCATGGGTTAGTTAATGACATGAATAAATATTGCTTGGTAACCATTCCTGTTGCCACCATTTTTTCCAGTTACAGTTGCCCACTAAAATTAAAATTATGTGCAAGGAAAATATTTTATGTCACTTGGTTTTTGATACCGACTTTGAGGTTTTACAAGTTCCATTTTAGTTTTCATTGGCTCTTGTCATTTTTTCATCCAACATGAGTGTGTGAAAGGTTAACTTCACATGAAAATTTGACATAAGATGTTCACATCTCATTTAACTTTTGTCCACGGTGGGAGTTTCACCCTGTGAGCCCCGAGTCTACAACAGGGTTCCCCTGCTGCACCCCAAACACACACATCATCCTGCGACAATGTTAATCTGGGTTTTCACACAGAGCTCAGGGGCAGGGGCTCTGATCTGTAGGCTCTGGGGTCGAGGCTCAAAGGATTAACAGATCTAACCCCTTGATAATGAATGATAATAATAATGCTATTGCCTCATATAATACTCGTAATGAATCCCATGGGGGATTTCAAATGATCTTGTTTGGCAGCAAGTCATATCATACCAACACTATTTTTGAAATCGTTAAGTTCCAGAAGGCTGGCAAGATTTATTATTAGGGAACTGAACTATACTTTTTTACTTTTAAAAAGAACTAAAGCTGTAAAATCATACAACTCCCCTTTTCCTGCTTTCCAGGTATTTGACAAATTTAAAGAGATGCAAGATGAAGAATCCAAGAAGGCGAGTAAAAGAAAGAACGGTGACCAGGATGACGTCATTGTACAAGAGCCGAAAAAGTCGCAGAGAGCCATCTCAGACTTCTTCAAGCAAAGACACACATGAAGAGTAAGCGGAGCTGTTCATTAAAAAATTGTTGATTTGTTTAGTTTTTTATAAACCCACACTCAGCGTGATACCTCAGCCTTGATTGTTCTCCGATACTGTTTCCCAAGTATTTGATATTTTTATTTTTATATTACCACCGAACTACAGTCTCAAACAATTCAAAATATTGCTATTGATTTTTCATACCATTAAAGTTGTTTGTATATAAATGGCTCTTATAAAACATGTAAAATTTATGGATTTGCTTTTATTGAATTTACAGACATTGTTTAATGCCCTGGTTACACGCAACAATAAATTGTACAAAAACTGGAAGATCTATCAATCATGAGACAAATCGTCAGGTGTAACCACAAAACTGTACAAAGTTTGGATGATTGGACAACGGCCTGGAGACTCGGTCGAGAAATCAAGGGCTGCTTGATATTTTCCGTGCGATCACGGTCAGATTTGGGGGAGACGCGCTGTGACGTAGAATCACTTAAAAATTTGTCGCCGTGCAGGATTAAACTTAGGACTCAAAATTTTGAAAATAATTATCGCTGGTAAAAACTGATTACATCTCGGAATCAGCGTCTCAAAATAAGCAAAGTTGCTCACTGAGAACCTGATTTGATGTGTTATTATGTAAATTTTAGCAATTTTATTATTTAATTGATCGTCAGTGGTGAAGTTGCGTACCAAAGTCACCCGGTGCATTGCACATCTGCAGTCAAGTCAATGACTAGGAATGTCCCTGATGGAAAGAAAACTGGACGATAGATTGGAACTTCTAAACAGACTACACAGCTCGGTAAAACAGACAGTTCTCGCTTACGACGAATCTGACTCAATTTATAATTGCGTGTAACTGGGGCTTAAGACTTTGCTATCAGCGAATTTTATACATATATATGAGTTCATAAAATGCATATTCTCTGAACTACTAACTTACAAAGTCAGGGCTTGATGACACTGAAAGCAATTACTTCATATATACAGTCAAACACGGGTAACTTGAATTCATCGGGGATTGGAAATAGTGTTCGAGATTTCCGTAATTCGTCATGTTCGTGAAAGCCCCAAATACAAAGAAATAGAGAGAAAATCAAGGGAAGTTAAAAAAGAACATGTCATCTCCCCTGATGAACGTGTTGACGATGTGAAAGGAAGAAGATGAATGAAAGTGGAAAGCAGAAAATCTCACATTCCTTTCCTCTCATTTCATTGGCTTACAGAAAGTTACACCTCTTGCCATCTGCCCACAGCATGATTTCATGCCTGGCGAGTAGGGCTGGGATTACATGGGTAATTTGATACTCGGGTAATGAAAAAAGTACCCGAGTATCCGTCGGGTACCTGACATTTCAATTATCATATGCTGTTTCTGTACTGCTCTGCCTGCTTGCTTTAAGAGGCTTGACGCTGAAGACCTGTCAGTGTTTAATATGCTTTTGTAGATGTTGCAGGAGGCACTTTTTTTGTCTTTTATTTTCTCACAGTAATCCCAAGTGTATGACTTTCTTTGAAACATCTTGATAGAGACTATGCTTAAATGACAAAGCCAAAGCTATAATTTAAACCCTTTTACTTCACGTTATTCTTAGAAAATTTCCGCTTCTCCGTTGGATTCTTAGAACTGCACACTAGTTGCTTCCAAGGATATTGAAATTGAAACTATTGGCCTGCTCTAACAAAGTATCCGATCAATTCTTGGAAACATTCTAAGCATTCTTACAACATGCCCAAATGTGGCGTTTTTGTGGTCTGCTGTTTTCCAGGCAAAGGAGGTACGAGAAGTGGTGGGCATAAGTTGATATTGGCCAATAATTGACTAAGAGAGATCAGTACGGACAAGTACTCAGTATTTATTAAGGTTCGAATGAAGGGACGTAATTTTTAAAGTGCATTTGCATAGCATTAATGAAGGGGAGTAGAAAACCTGGGTACCCGACACCAATACCCGGGTAGCCAGTTTTGTGCTCTTTACCTGGGTGCTCACCCAGCCCTAGCGGTGAGCCAGTCATGCGATGCGTCCAGCATCAGTCCTCAAACCCATTTCCCCATCCCCCCTTCCTCCAGCCTCTCGTGGTGAGACAAGGACCACGTTTTGGCTGTAGCAATAACAAAGAAATTCCTATCCGTGGCTGTAAAGTTGAGAATGTGAAATGGATTTGCTCGAGATTCGAGTGTTGCGTGTTTGGGAACTCCGTGAACCATGAAGTTGATGCAAAGAAAATATGGGACTGAAACGGGACCAAGCATTTTATGTTCGCAATACCCGATAATTCGTGATTTTCGTGTTTGAGATTTGTGGACTTTGGGGTATGTGGGCTTCTGAAACCAGCGTAAATTTACTGCCACTGGGATATTGTTATCCTATCAATGGAGAATTTGATGGCTTTAGATTTGTACTAAAAATTCAAACAAGTATATCAAGTTGAATAGTTCTTTACCTTGGTCACAAAGTGTGGTACGGTAGTCTCCGCCTAAGTGCATAGTTCTCGGTAAGGCCCCTTTGTGTGTGTTTTTACGGAGTGTGCGTTTTCATGAACCTGTGCAAAGGGAGGAAGGGACACAATTATCTCATTTTCTTGCTATTTTAGTGACCTCCCTTGGGGGGAGGGGGGTCAATTTGGCTGATAATATGACGACACGTGACTGTTTTGTGATGGACTCCCTGACTATGGTTATGAATTATGAATACAAAGGCGTTGAATGGGGGGGGGGGGGGGCAGAAAGACGGACTCACTGTACTGATATGCACTATAAAATGTCGGGAACAGATAAGAGAAAACTGTTCGTGATGATAGATCTAGTCATAGAGAAAAGCTCTCCGCCAAGCGGCTTTCTAAGCCACCAATTCGGACTTACTGTCATCTAGTGCAACCCAGTAAATGCATGGATGACATCAGACTTTTTTCTTGTGGTTTGTTGAATAAGTTCTTCGAGCTCAGCTGATTACTTTACTAATTTTTAATTAGAGTAAGAGACCTATCCAGTGTTTACAGCGTTCATGCGTGGTGCGCATCATAGACTTAACTAAACATTACGCAGTCACTCAAACACCTGTCAGAAACCTTCTCTCAAAGATGCATTTCGAGGGACCAATCAGAAGACATTTATCTACCCCTCCTCAACATATCACCCGACCGGTCCTAGACCAATGTGTCCGTGGAAAGTTGGGCGCAAAATCTCTGTCCATCGCTCTCTTTATTCTGTGTGAGGGCCAGTCTCACCACATACAGGTACATCCTGTTGTGTAGGCTTGTCTTGTGCAAGTTGTAGCGAAAATTTCCCCTTATCTAGCTTTAGGCTACCTGTTGGCGTGTTTTGCGGATCGAAACATACATTTAGAAGTGACTGCGTTTGTACATCTAAATTATACAGTAGTACCTGTCATATGACGAAGGCGTGTGTTTAAGCGGAGACTACTGTACTCAGTTCTTTAAATTGTCTTTTCTCACAAAGAGTGCTCCTGTCCTTTGAATCTTGCTATTGATTCATCAACAATGTTAAAAGATGTCTGCGGACATGTAGGTCCCGTGATAACTACCAATGGCTGAATCTTAGCTAAAGGCAAGATCGTAGTTGTCTTGTCCGTTTGAAATCCAGGCTGCATTATCCATGAAATACAAAGATGTTTGTATCATCTGGTACCCGTGACGACTCATAACAAGTCAGAATTTCGTCTCCTCGAGCCAAAAGCTTGTCCAATGATCTTGTGAAGGTGGTCTTGGGTATAGCCCATAGATTTATACTTGTAGGCCAGATAATAGATACAGAACGCCTCTCTCTCGCCTTGCTATGCCATGGCCCCATTCGATAGTGGCATCCGCGATGTTTGAGTTGGCCAGCTGTGTGAAGGAGTTCATGCTGAAGCAGTGGGCAAGGCTTGCTTTCTCTCTCTCTCATAATGTATGCAATAGGCGAGGCTTGGCCCTTGTTGATTTATTTTTTTTAACATGGGCGCCGTGGCGTACTATTGCTAGATAAAAATACAGCGTACTTTTTACTAATAAATGTATTATTAATTAAAAGATAGAGATAGGCTTTAAAACAAACAAAAAATAACAACAAAACAACTTTATTTCTTTATCACCACTTTATCTACGGTGGGGTTTATTTCTTATTGACTGAATCAAAGTGTATAGGGCCTATAGAACTTTTCAGAAGTATGAAAATGCATGGGTGTCATGGGTACTTCCCCTCCCAACCACTCTACCCTCTCTCAGAGTCTCTCCTCCCGAATCCCAATGCCAAGCCCCCCCCCCCTCCTACACACACACACATACACACACCTACGGATGCACTGATGGTCTGTATTGCCAGTGGCACCTTCATTTTGTTTTTGGCCTAGTCAAGGTGTTTTCCTCGGAGTTTGTTAGCGAGGTGGAGATTGCTGTTCTCCTGAAACTTATGTAACTCCACAATGTACCGCCATTCGATCCTGTCACTTCCTGTGTACACTACACTCAAATCCCAAAGACAGTTGCAGAAATTCTTTAAAAGATGGCATGCATCGAACATCATGTTGATGGTCTTTGGTTCAGTGGGATGTTGAATGTCTGTGCATTTTGTCATGTTTGATGACACATCCTAAGCGAGTTGCAGTCGATTGGTTGTTAAAGGCTCCATTGCAGACAACAGCAACATATAAAGACATCTGAGCTAAAAATAGATGATGCAATGAAAGAAAACAGATCACTGAACTGCCTGATACTGACAGAAGCAGTGATGAGTTGTTTAAATTCATTCGTGCAATAGAAAATGTATTCCAAACACAGACTATATACTGTGCATATATAGCAAGCTCAGCATTAAGCGCTGTCTGGTTATGGTTTCCATTGTCACTAATATCCTATACATTACATCATACATTTTAGTCATGAGCAAGGTTACAGTAGCAGCTTATCTTTAGTTGCTCCCATCCATCATCATCCCTTAAAAAATATAATTGATGATACTGTTATATTACAATGGATGTGCACAGGCTATGACTGTAAGTCAGTGTCAAGAATCTTCCACTTTCAGACTAATCAGATGTTTGCTGGTGATGTATTAACTGTAGAGAAAGTCTCTAAGGTGTTAATCCAGAAAGGGACTAGGGGTTTCTCATGCTTGCACTTTTAAGAGAATCTCTTTGGATTAAAACATGTTCAAATCTAATAAAACACCTTCCTTAATTAGAGCAGGGTACATGCCCACTCACATGTAATATGTAAACAAACTTTTTGGCCAACTCAAACATGGCCGCGAACGAACTCAAAAGTTTCCGTGTCATGTAACCTTGTACGGTCTTCTGTCTAAAAAGGAGATAACTCTATGATATAGCCCTATAGGAATTTGTAAACCTACAAAATCCCTCTTAAGTTCTTCAACAGTTATAAAATGTCTTTCCAATGCATTTCAAAATACTTGTGGAGGTGGGTGCGGGCATGTGTTTGCCTGTTTAATCATGAGTTCAAATGCAGCAGGGGGGGGGGGCGCTGAAAAAGTCTTCTTCAGTAAAGCCGTTGTGTCTATCAATGACCCTGGCTGCTGAGTGAAGTCTGGTAGCCATTCAGCTTCATAAAGGCCCTTGTTCAAACTTGTCATAAAACTCCCACCTCAAGTCTGTTGTGGCGACACCCCCCTTGGGCTATGCCCTCCCTCCTCTTTAAGTTTAAATTTCAGTACCACTTTGCTTTTCTCCCTCCCTGGTCCTTTTGAGGTACCCAAAACGTCTCCTCTGCCTCTTCTCGATCTAGGCCTACTTGTGGAAGGTCCTGGCTGCTCATTATCACTTCTCTCACTTGATTCAGATGAGGCAGGCGGTGTCATCGGTAGCCTTGTGGTTAGGCTACCACACCCATAATCGTGAGACTACGAGTTTGGGGGTTTGAGTCTCTGCTCAACCTGAAGTAGAGTCTTTGGGAAAGGCACTTAATTAATCAGTTTCATTCAGTTTGTGTCACAATCATCATAGTTTCTCCAATAGGTAGGGCAATGCCCACTTTTGGTGTTGGTCAAGATTCCTGAAATCTGGGTTAGCCCGCTTGCCCTTAAAAGCGACCATATATAGTTACCCCACAATAGCAAGTTTTGGTACCGATAATGAGTTTTGCATATAGTCAATATTTCTGCCACATATTTTCAACTCTCCGTCAGGAAAAGAAATAGAAAAAAAATATTTTGAGGGCTATTACTGTTGATATTAAAACAATGTATGTGTACATTTGCTTGCCAAAGCATTTTTTTCTGATTTCATTTATATTATTATTATTATGTGGAAATTACAAAGTTTTAAACATGTTTTATCTCTGTATTCACTGATGAAAGAAAATTGTCATTAAAAAATACCTTCACATACATTATATGTGTGAAATATATGTGTTTTAATAAAACATTTTCATATTTATACAGATGTGATTTTGTTTCTTTACCCCAAAGCCTGAATAAGTGGGTGGTTGGCGGGTGCTCTGGTGTGGTTTGCTTCTTCTTTTCTATCAAACATCTATCGTCCTTATCTCCCCTTCTTCTTTATTATGTTTGTTACTCTCTTGTAACACCTCTAATCTTCTGGCGCTCATATGACCTTATGTAGTTGCAAGCGCCGTAAAATCTCTACTAAAAGTAAGTAAAAAGCCTGAATATAGCTACCTGCCGTATCGTTTGTGAAATACGACTCCATAAACTTTACATAACAAGATAAAATAATACAGCACTCCACTTCAACGGAAAATCATTGATATGTTTTGTGATGTAAAATTGAAAATAGCACACAAAATGATACTATTGTCTATTATTATCTATAGATGTCCTTCCTATTGGCACTAATAAAGATGTCATGTGATGTGCTTCTTCTGAACAAAACAGGGCATCTTTGAGAACAATTGTCTCTCCATCTTTGCTCCTTAATAAAACTAGCATCTGCGTTTGTCGCGGCCGCGATTTTTGGCATTTTTTGGTCTGTGAATCGCGGCCACGATTTTTGCATTTTTCCAACAAAAAACTACCGCCGGGAAGAAAAAATAATTTAAAAACAAAAACTGGGAAAAGTAAAGAGATTTAGTTGTTTTTTTTTAACGAATATTATTCCCAGTTTTTGTTTTTATAGAAAGAAAGCTTATTTTCACTTTTGCTTCACTTCGTCTCTTTCTCACTTGTTAAAACTACATTGAGTTGTAATTTTCATGTGAAGAACAAAAGTAGGCTACATTACATAGGCTACTACAGTCCATGCCAGCTTTAAGCATGGTCATCGGGAGAAAGCTTAAGCGTGCTTAAAGCCGAAGCGTGCTTAAATGCGAAGTAGACATAATCCAGAGATTTTCATGTAGAAAATTCCCCGTGCTATTTCCCTCTGTTTGTAAGTAGGCCTATAGCGGTCCCGCAAAAGTGTGCACTGTTATTTAGACACCCGCCATGATAGTTTTTGTTCGCTTGTTTATTGTTTGTTTTTGTTTTGTGGTCGAGTGGAAAATGAAAACTTAATTTCGACGGCCAGTCACGATACAGCACACTAGGCCTACTGTAACACACTGCCTGTGCGTACCACCTGCCCGCTCTGCCACTCATACCACCGCCTTCATCCCACCTCGCGCGTGATACACAATCAGGATTAATGGATAGCGAGGGTCGAAGGTGAAATCGCAGCCAGCCTCCCTTTCTCGTCTCCCCGACTCTCTTTGTATTCTTTTTTGGTCGTGTGTAGCTTTGCCCAGCTAGGCCTAGGCTAGATCCTATGTCCGCGCGCACGACTGTGTGCATCTCTCTGCCTTCCTCTCCGCCCGTGTGAGTGTGTGTGTCCATCACTTGCGTTCTTTGTGTTTCTCTTGACATACTCCACTGCTGCGGTGTAGACTGTTCGAACTTCGATGGGTCATCATGAAAATATTGACTGTCTTGTAAATGAAGCGTGCTTGAAGCCGAAGTTACCGTGCATAAAGGCGTGTAATTTATATAGCAAAAACGTGCTTAAGGCTGGCATGCTTAAAGCCGGCACAGACTGTATTTATTTGCTGTTTCTCTTTCATGTTTCCCTCTTTGTTGTGTTTTATTTTGTTGGTGTGTTGATTTTTTTCCCCTCGTTATTGTTCTGGTTTGTTGTTTTTCCATTTCAGTTTTTTTTAAAATGTGTTATAGTTATGTTACAGCGTGTCTCCACCAAAAAGGAAAACTGACACTGGCAGGCCCCTTGTGTGTGATTCCATGATCTACATGTTAGATCCTGTACTTTTTCTTGAATTACACGCTTTAGGGTTAAAATGGCCTGTGTATGGATGGGTAGAGACATGCCCTTATTTGTTAATTTTTGTGGTTGTTTATTTGCTGTTCTAATTTTTATTTCATTCTTTTGTGAAACCTTTATTTTTCTCGTTTTTACACTCTGTGTGTGGGTGGTTGGCGGGTGCTCTGGTGTGGTTTGCTTCTTTTTTCCAATGAAACATCTATCGTCCTTATCTCCCCTTCTTCTCTACTATGTTTGTTACTCTCTCGTAACACCTCTAATCTTCTGGCGCTCATATGACCTTATGCAGTTGCGAGCGCCGTAAAACCTCTACTAAAACTAAACACTCAGTGTGGTTGCAAATGATATCTGGATGTTTAAAACAGCACAAGAAATTCAGGTGTTTTAGATTAAGTTACCTCTATCAACATATTGCTATATACGTCGTCACAGAGAGTTGAAAGCTTGAAAATTAATGGCAACTTTTGCCATTTTTGTGGCAACTTTTCGACAAAAAATAGCAACAAATGCAGATGCCAGATAAAATAAGCACAACAGACAGTGGTGGAGAGATGGAAAAAGATGCAAGAGCCTTTCCAACTTCCTAAAATGTTCACAACACTTCACATAGAAATATTTTGTAGACAGGCTGGCTGGTGAAGGATGTTTGTTCTTTAGTTGTTGTTTTTTTCCATTTGCCACCATTGCCTATTCCATGTGTATGTAAAGTAAGTCTGTAACTGAACCAAGCCACTGAACTGCACAAATCCATTCCAAATCATATGAGACAGTAACGGTTTTTAAATTCCAGTCTGGAAATAAAGCTCAAAACACAAGAAAAATTCCCTTACTGTGATTACAAAGTGGCAAGAACACTTTCTGATGTAATTCGTCACCCACAATCACTTTTATTAACCAAAAAATACAGCCTACTATAACTTAATTCTTTTTTGCTTTCTTTTTTGTAGGCATTTCTCCTTGCTCATTGGCGTCAGTCTCTGGCTGCTTTCTCTTCTTTTTCTTTCCTGAATTGCTCTCTGGTGTCTGTTTTTGTCCATTCACTTGAGCCTGTCCATTTTCTCCAGCCTTTCCTTTACCCTTCTTTTTCTTCTTTCCTTGCCCTTTGGTATTTGACCCATCGGCTTTGCCCTGGCTCCTGTTGGCAAAAACATTTGAAGCAAATTACAGTGGAGTCCACTTATAAAGAGTCCTGAAACAACGAGAAGTCTGCTATAAAGACACTATTCTAAAACCCCGTTTTTTTCCTTCTTTATCTTTGTAAATAAAATACTGCTATTGCGCAATCAGACAGTCACGCGAGTCAGTTATAGCGGAATAATGCTGCTGCTGTTCACAGCACACAGACCAATTGAACATATAAAACCTCGCCAGTAGAGAAAGTTGTTGGCGATCCAGCGAAACAAAGAACGGGAAAGCCCACGCGAACCAACAATGAAGGCCGGAGTGAATGAGTTGGGAGGGTGTGGCATGCGCAGACAAGCAGAACGCATCGCATGATAGGCCAGCCCAGTCTAGATTATCTAGGCATACCGTGCCTCTCACTTCTCTGGTGCGGGATGGAGAGGTCACAATGCTGTGATAGATGGAGTGAATGTGTGACGTGCGCAAGCAGACGCAACGCACCACAGGGTGTGGTGAAGTGGGGAACAACACAGCGGGCAAGTTAGCCCAGAGCCAGAGCCCCTTCTTTCTGATCGCCAAAGCCGATTTGTCAACATTGCTAGTGCTAGAGAAAGAAACCTGATTCGATTTTTGATCAAGTAGGACCTAGAGATTATGTTGAACAAAATCATCATCAGGAGAAATACAAAAAGGAATAAACAGAACACCAAACTCATAGATTAGGCCTACTTTACTATTTCCATTGAATTTATTACTGGATCCCTAATAACGAGAATCCTGCTATAACGGACATTTCGCACCGGTCCCCTCCCTCTCGTTATAACAAGATTCCACTGTATTTTTAAAATCTGACAAAGTTCAAACTGGCTTGGCAGTCCCGCTCTATTATCAGATCTAGATCTATATTTTTATTCTTCAAATAAAAACATTAATAACACATCACAATAGAAATATATCTTTACACAAAGCATAATGAAACTATTTTTTAAAATTGTCATGGAAATTATTCTGATTCTGACTTAAATCTCATCTACGTTTCATTTGGCCATTAGCAGCAGTATTTGACTGAACAAATAGTGTTCATGAAAGATGAAGGGAAGGTGGCGTCGGTGGCCTAGTGGTTAGGCTCTCGGACTCGCAACCGTAAGGTCGTGGGTTCGAATCCCGTCAGGGGCCCAACGTTGTGTCCTAGGGAAAGGCACTTTACACGAATTTTTCTCACTTCACCCAGGTGGGAATGGGCACCCGGCTATAGACAGCGAAAGATCTTGTCAGTTTGTTAGTGTTTGAACGCTTAATCAGCTGCTTGCACTGTATGCTTCCCGGGAAGCTGAGAATGTTTCGGAGTGTTCTATGGTCTGCTGGGGTAATAATATAGTGTAAAGTGCATAGAGCCTGCTGTTGAGCTGGGATATGTGCTATATAAATGCTATTTATTATTATTATTATTATTATTAAGAGGAGAGTGAATTTGATTTAATGTAGGGCTGGAACAAGAAATTGTAGTAGGCATGGGGAAATTTTTTGAAATTCAGAGGGATCTTGGATTCATGCAAACAAAACTGATAAATGGTATCTGCACAGTATTTTGATATGATCTCCATGACACTAATGAAATTGACAAAACAGATAAGAAATCCATTTCTTCATGGTGGAGAACTCAGCCAGTCCAAATGTATGTCTATATTTACTTTTATATCAGAACAGAATCCCCCCCCACCCCACACACATTAGCATGAGTAGCTTGTGGCTGTTACCTTTCTATACCAGCAATAACCTTTGTGGCCAGTCTGCGTAGGTCAGTGTTCAGTTTGGACTTGAGGCCAGTCAGCTGCTGCAACTCCTCTAGACCGAAGGGAGGCTGTGGAGAGACAAAACTTACAGCTGAGAGAACGTCATGATGTTGTGTTTTTTAAGTAAGCGTTTTACAGCACTTGCAACACAATTAGTACTAGGTCATAAATATAAGTACCAAAGATTAGAGGTGGTATAGTATAAGAGAATAACCACAGAAAAAGGAGGAGAGATAAAAGGATGACAGATTTTCGTATAGGAAAGAAGTAGCAAACCACACCAGAGCACAGGCCAACCACCCATGAAAGCCATGATGAGCAGCATGGGGCAAACTACACCACAGCATCTCGACTGCTTGGTGTAAAACTCTGCCATAGACCATTTTGAAAAGTGATGTACTACGGAGTCTTGCACTGAGCAGTAGATCTGGAACAAGGAAGAAAGTAGACGGTACCCACAACTACCACTTTGTGTGTGCTCAATGTCACCAAACTTGTTGTAATCATGAGGTTGAGGGTTCAGAGGTTCGAGCCTCATGCCCGACGTTATGCCTTTGAGAAAGGCATTTTATTTCACATTAACTTTCCTTACTTCACCAAGGTGGGAATGGGCACCCGGCCATAGACTATGATAAAAAGTGAAAGATCTTGTCAGTATGTTAGTGTTTACGTGCCTAGATAAATTTATAAATGGCAGCTTGTACTGCATGCTTCTCAGAAAGTTCAGATTGTTTCAGAATGCTGTCAGGTCTGCTGTGGCAATAATATAGATTGTAAAGTGCATAGCGTTTGCTGTTGAGTGGGAATTAGCGCTAGACAAACGCTTTTATTATTATTATTACCTGTGTGAGCACGTCGGGCCTGCTTTGTAGTGCTACAGCCACGTTGAGCAGCTCCTTGGTGTACATAACCTTCAGGTCATCAGCTCTCAGACTCCTTATGGACTGCAGCACAGCACAGGCAGAGAGGAAAAATTTAAAAAAAGGTCATTCTTGATGTTTGTAAAATTTATCAGAGACAGTATAAAAACATGCTGTGTTGATGTTTCTCCCTTTTTAAAGGAAACAATTTAATATATATATATATGTATAGTTTCCGTTAGTCTTGTTAAGTAAATATATCCTTTCAATCAAGAAATCTGTCGGGTCTAAAGTGATACCAAATAAGATGTCATCAGAGTAAATAAAGTCAGGCATAGAAGTAGAAGTTAAATAGAAAATATTAGTATTAGTATTAACTATTATTAATTATCAGTCTCAGCTCCCACCAATCTTTTTTTAAAAATGGAAGGTTGTAACTTTGTGCCTGAATAGAAATTATATCTCATCACAGACTTCAAACGCACTACGGAAGTAGGTACCACAGACTGAAATTTCAAAGTCCTCTGATTTCATAGTGAACTGCACCACCTTATAGAATTTATTATTCTGAGCATTTTTATACAAAATTTATACATATATAGCTTCATTTTTAACAAAGTTAGGAACATCTGAAGTTGTTTTTAGTTTAGTATGGGGTTTTACAGCGCTCGCAACTGCATAAGGTCATATGAGCGCGCGAAACACAAGGTGGCATTTGCAACAGTTCACTGCACGGCTGGTCAACTATCAGACTTTAAAATGTTAAAATATTAAAATTCGGTGTATATTCAATTTAAAATAACTTTTAAATAACAAAAATTTTGAACAATTTTATTTCTCTTTTATAATTTCCCATAAAGGCAAAGGCCAATGGCCTGCACAAAATCTAAAATTCTGTTGGGAACAATGACGGAAAAAATATCTTGCAATTTTTTGCATTTAAATCATTTCCTACGGGTCTTTCCGAAGTCTAGACATTCGGTTAAAATGTGTCTAAAGGTAAAAATCTGTGTCACATCCGACACGGAACGGCTTCTCATCTCCCTGAAGGAGGTATTTGTGTGTTAGGGCCATGTGTCCGATGCGTAATCAAGTAAAAATGACTTCATCTCTTCTGGAGTGGCCCGAAGGATTTTGCGGTTCCAGTTTGGGTTTAATGTTGTGAAGTTTATTATTTCTTTCTCTTTTCCAGTGGGTCTCCCACAGACTGGAGCATCTGAAGTTGCAGAAAAACGCTATATTTTAAAATTGTAAAATGTCTGCACTTTGAGATGTCATAACATTCTTAAATTTGAATGGACATTCACAAAAACTTGTAAACACACACCCACGCACATAGAGAATAAACCCAATTTTTTTCAGGGCTATCATATAACCAAAAGATGGAAATTTATTGACGTAAACATGGCTTTTTGACCAAAATGGCAAGAAATACAAGTGGAGGTTGACAATCACCACTCGCGATCACCGGCTTCTCTGCTGCGCGCTGATGGGGAGTGTCTGGTATTTATTTTCGTATAATGGCTGCGTTATTCTTGAAGAGGAATGAATGGGCTTTAATCTGCCTATATATTTCCATAGCCAGTCTGATCACTGGTCCCAAAAAAAAAACAGCATCGAAAGTTTTCACACGCAAATCTCTTGTTAATTCTTTAAGGACAGTCTTAAGAAATATATCACCGGAAAGAGCATTTTTTCATCTTGAAATATCAAAGAATCAGATTTCAGTATTTAATACCATACACTCAACGTGTCTGTTCCACCGAGGTCACCCCAAAAATCGATGCACAAAACGCTAATACCACTAAAAAGAGGAAAAGCTCCTCTTTCTTCGGATATTTCAAGTGTCTGTGTGTATGCATGATAACACAGTGTTTTTAGGAGGGTAAAAATATGGATTTTGTTTTCCGTGACTGTGCGGGCACACGGCCAGTTTGCGGCGCCCAATGGAAGCTGAATTCTTCGGGGGGGGGGGGCTGTAAAAACTCATACACTAAAAAAAACCCAACACTTTCAAAACCATTTTGCTGAAAATGTATAGAGATCAAATTCAACCCGAGTATTTGTTCAGAGTCACAAGAAAAAGTGCAACCGGCCAAAAAGTCCATCCACACATTTTATCAAAACAAACTCACCTCGGACACCACTGCAGCCACCTCATTCATCCAAGCACTTGTACTGCCTTCATCTGTCTCTGGGACATGCTGAAAGAACAAAGTTTTTATACTTTTTAATAACATTTTTGACAGTTTTTGCAGAGTATCCAAGTCGGAACTCAAAATCGATACGACTTCCGATTTTAGTTGAAATAATGTGCGTGAGTCAACAACTAGATCCGGCATTGATGTTTTAGAAAATACAGTTCCAAGTTCTTCCCGACAAAAAGTCCATGCGGTGCTTCCAAACAAAAGAGATTGCAGAATTTTTTTTTCTAGGAATCGGACGCAACAGATGTGAAAACAAAAAACCAGGAGACACAACCGAAATCAGGAAAAGTGGGATGCTTGAGATTTGGGGCAAAAAATCGGGATATCCCGATAATTAAATTGGGATGAGTGGCAGGTCTGCATAGATCAATACAGAGAGAAAAGACATGGCAAAAGACCAGAAGAAAAAAAAAAAGGCACTCTCCAGTCGCCCATCGAAAACAAAAAGTGCCAGGTGTATGTTTGTTCTTTTGTAATCACTACCGCAATGGCGCTATACCTATAAACACGTCATTTTTGTCTTCTCTTTTTCAAAGAGTGAAGGGGCACAGAGGCAGAAAGATAAGTTTGAAGCCACCAAAAAAAGATCTAGTTGGAAAAAAAAACCCAAGGCAACACACAAGAGTAAGCCTACCAGAAAATCAAACAGAAGAAGTAAATTTTCACTGAGATCCACTAATGAAAACCAAAGAAAACAACTTTACCCTATTTTCGATGGCTGCATTGTTGAGACAGGTTCTTTGTCTATAATGTACCTAAAACCTATAATAAATGTCTGGTACACTAATTATAATGTTATGCTCACCTTTTGTGTTTTCTTCATCAAACTGGACAGCAGAGAATAGCAAATCACCTGCATAAGACATACGCAAAAAAAAAAAAAAAAAAAACTTTTTAAAATAAAGTGGTAAGTTTGATTTTGTCACTTCCAAAATTCGACATTCAGCTTAAAATATTGATACTACAGTGCAGCTTCTCTATAACGACGTCATCAGGACCAGAAGAAAAAAAAGTCGCTATAGAAAGTAGTCGTTATAAAGAGGCAACCAAGAGCTACTAATGATAGAGGCCTATACAAGGACAAAAGTTGGGACCTGGGCACCATGCCGCTATACAGAGGATGTCATTACAATCAAGGTCGTTATAGACAGGCTGCACTGTATTTCCCTATTATCAATGATTGAATATGCTGCCAACTGATTACAGGCATACTTTCTTGAATATAATGTTCTGTGAATCAGTTTCAGCATGATTTACCCTAGACCTAAAGTAAATCATCATTTTACAAATAAAACAAGAATGAACAGTGAACTGGGATTTATTTTGAAATTACAGTTCTGTTTTTAAAAATATTATTATCACGTAGCTGTAGAATTTTTTAAAGTATTAAAAGCATGCATGTGCACAGTGAGAGGGGTATCAAGGATAGGGGTTATACTCTATATCTAAGGTATGGAATTTATAAGCATCCCCCCCCCCTTTTATTAATTTTCATTTTTTTGCCCACCCCCCGCTCCTTATTGCATATGCCCCGTTTATTATTTTCTAGCTTGCCACGGCCGACGATCTTGTGAAACATTATATCTAGAATCTAGATATCAGTATGAAACTTCTTTTTTTTTTTTTCTTTTTTTTTTGGTAAATGGCAAATTACCCTCAGTATTATTAGTACAGGTAACGGGTTGGCTACCTCAATTTTCTGTGCATTTTAAAAACTTTTGTACATTGGATGATATTTTTTAATGAAACAGGTATGTTCCTCTGGGAAAAGTTGTCAGTAAGTAACTAAAATTTCATGATCTCTTGTTCCTTTATTCACTGAAGGAGAAATAAAACAGACTTGTTCCTACTAGTACTAGTACAGGGGTATGAGGTTGAAACCAATGCCAAACTAATGTTTGCGATACTATCTTGGCTATGGTGCAACTAATGTTTCACTACAGGCAAAGTGGCATTGAGTGACTGTATACTATATGGGCTCTAATGTTTGCCTTTCTAGCTTGGCTTTGGAGCAACTAATGTTTTTCTTAAGGGACAGTGGCACTGAGTGACTATATGGGCTCTGTGCAGAGAGGGTGTTAGAGTCAGCTGTATGTGACAGGTGACAGTAACATAGCCAGGAAAGTGGGGATATGTTAGGGTAGCCAAAAGGAAAATACATACAGTAGTCTCCGCCTAAACGCACGCTCCGCTCAAACGTGCGCACGCTTTCGTCATATGACAGGTTTTTCACTATATGATTTAGACGTACAAACGCACGGTCACTCTCTAAACGCACGCTCCAATCTGTGAAACACGCCGACAGGTAAAGTTAAAGCTTGACAGGGGAAATTTTCACTACAACCTGCACAGCCTGCATAACACAAGCCTAGAAAACCGGATATCTGGTGAGTGTGCCCCTCACGCCGAACAAAGAGAACGATGGACAGCGTTTTCACACCCAACTTTCCACAGAAACGTAGGTCTAGGACTGGTCGCTGAAAAGTTGGGGGGGGGGAATCGAGGGACTGAAATGTTTTTGGATTGGTCACTGGAAATGTATCTTTGAGAGAAGGCTTCTGACTGGTGTTTGGGTGACTGCATATAATGTTTAGTTAGACGTTAGACCTAGGCGTGATGCGCGACACGCGTAAATGCCGTAAAACACTTGACAGGCCTCTATAGGATTAAAGTTAAAGATTAGATCTAGCCAAATAAGCATAATCAGCTGCCCTCGAAGAACCTTAAGACGTACTTTTTCAACGAATCACAAGAGAAATGTTTCTCTGAATGTAGAGATCTATGATTCAAATGTCGTCCATGAATTTACGGTCGGGGGTGGTAACTTGGAAAGCCCCGTGGCTGGGCCCTTGTCTCTATGACTATCACCAACAGTTTCCTCTTAGTCTTAGGCTCTGTTCCCGACGTTTTATGGTGCATTCCTTACATACAGTGTCGAGGAATTCCTTTACAAAACAGTCATGTGTCGTCACATTATCTGCCAAAATGACCCCCACCCTCCAAGGGAGGTCACTAGAGTAATAAGGAATTGAGATGACTGTGTCCCTTCCTCCCCTTGTAAAAGTTCATGTAAACGCACGCTCCGTATAAACACAGACTAAGGAGCCCTCCCGAGCACCGTGCGTTTAGGCAGAGACTACTGTATTTATAAAAAGCGGAATCACAGGTATTACATTTGTATTTTCGTCAAAATAAAAATAAATTGTAACAATTCTGCCAAGTTCGTAACGATGGGCAGCCCTGTGTTTTGCTACATACCTTGCCATGAAGCTTGATGGATGAATCTTTCAAAGATGCGACCATCATGGGGCACATAAACTGGTACCGAGCCTGTCAATAAACATATTATAACCGCAATAAACTACAGTTGATTATCTCTATAACAGTCATGCTTGTATAATCCACACCAATCAATGCTATCATCATGACATCTGACAGAAAAACTAGAGAGGTTTCTCCTTTATCCCTCATGGACGAAATTAAGTTTTAGCTTTAGTTTAGTATTAGCAGAGTTTCACAACTGCACAGGGTCATAAGAGCTTCGAGGGGTAGATGTCAACAGAGAAGTCTTTACAGGGAATCAGGCTTACTCTGCTCACCTCTCAAGCTTCAACAGCACAAGGTCTGATTCGAATATCAAGGCACCCCGGAAATAGAGGGTCACAAGATTGTGACAAACATACAAAAGAAGTAGAAGAAAACTGATGATGGTAAGGATTAAGAAAGAAAGAGCAGCAGTTCCCTGTTGCAGTTCAGGCACAGTTATGAGCATGACATTGATGAATCAGCCCATTTACAATTCTACTGTGCATAAAAACATCTTAATGTCCCCCCCTTTGGGAATGGCCTAAAGACACTCCAGTCAGTAGCACCGCCCCGGGGGGTGAAATTATGTCACTTATCGCTATCTTTAGCACCCTTCAAAAAAGCCAGTGCCTCATATATATACATATATAACGAAATCTATCAAATTTTGACCTTTTCTGTAAACATGATTTATCTTCAGTTGTATCAGAAAGAAATGTTATCAGTTTACATTTAAAGTAAAAATTCACATGGCTTACCTCGTCATTCTCTATCAATTTTTTAAAAAGCGACTGCTTTAAAATCTTACCTTTTTGCATAACATCTTTCAAATATCGCCTTTTAGTATAGTCTATTAAGTCACATTATAATTTTCTTTAAAAAATACAATTATTTTACAATCTTTTAAAACAAAAATTTACTTGACTCACCACATCATTGTCTATCAAGTGTGAAAAGAAAGACAGGTGCTGTTTGGATTTTCTGTGATGGAGAAAAAAACCAACATAAAAATCAAGGTCTACAGAGCTGCAAAAGAAAAAACTATGACATTACAACTAGAAGCATAAGGGGCTCCACCATTTACCCCTTTTCTCAAAATAATGCCAACATATGACCCAATTCATACATTTATTGCATCTACAGGAAAACTCACTTTTTCATCTGTGCACAATGAACTTTTCTTTGCCATGGCATAAAACACCTTGTTCAAGACAGGATTAGGTGAGGCGGTAGAGTATACAGGCACAAAATGAAAGAAATTCTGACAGAATTATTTAAGCGCTGTTGAGGTAATCTATTCATAATAGGAAAAAGTAATGGCCTAATATTCTTCTCTCCTTAATTTTCATTAAAAAAGAATACAAATCCCTTTGATCGTTGAGAGAATGCCCTTATGAAATTGTAGGGATAAAGCCATAAAGCTTTTTCTAAGCCCTGAAATAAAAAGAAACCTTTTCTCCTTCCAAGACCAGACACTTGAGTGGGACTATCGAACAGTAGAGAGAAACTTACACAAATACACATAACTAAAGGTGACAGGTCATGGTTGAGCTATGGTAACAGTCTAAGAGTTTACCACTCCTTTATCATTGTAAGGTCACCCAAAAGGTGGGACTTATGGGATGAACATGTATACATCCGATAGGACTCAGTCCAGGGATGGACAGCCTTGATAACTCCCGAAACAACCCAAGTTAAGGACTGCCTGATTTAAGATTCCAACTTGGGTCATCCACACCATTGCCCAGCATGAACAGTGCCAGAAAGAAGCATTTTAAACAAAAATTCACATTACTCACTACAACAAATTTAAATATTCACAAGAGAACTAACATTTTCAGACCCAGAAAGAAAAAACACATGAACCCACCAGCAGAAACTTACCCTTTAGTGATGACATTCTTCACGGTTTCCTCCAGCAACTTCATGCACTTCTTACCGGAATTCTGGGACATAAAAACCAACAGTGAGTCACCAAATTTGATCAAACAAAGTCAGGTCTACACAACACAATTGCTGTTTCCCATAAAAAAAAAGTAAACAGGCTTCCAACAAAGACAAAGGCATGAGAATTGAACAAATAAAAAGAGGAAAAAACAAACAAACAACAACTCAATTAGAACTTCAATCATTTAGCATGTTTTCCAGGAAGTTGATATAGATTGATTCAGAATGCTATCAGGTCTACTGGGGTAAAAATATATAGATTGTGAAGCACATCATGCTACTGGGCAGGAATTTGCACTGTTCAAAGGCTATTACAACTATAATTGTAGTAATCTTCAAGAGTGAAAAGCAAACTTTACGATTACTTTTTGACCTAAAACTAAAAAATGTAGGTGTCTGAAACTACTGTTTAAAACATTACATTTGAAATATGTACCAACATACCTTGGCTTGAACACAATTCAAGTTCATCTGAAAAAAAAAAATATTGAACACATTCATATAATTCAGTCACATGACATAAATCATACAGCACATCTTTTGTCAAAGTTGTCATTGAAGGGTGGAGTAATCCTCTACATAAGAAAAAAAATAATTTTGAAATATGATGAGCACATCTGTATAACATTACACTTGTGTTTCATGCTCTGTCAAAGTAAAATCCATATCCCTGAAAATTCATGTTTGTTAACATTAGTGAAACACTATAAACTGTTAATAATATATTCCAAAAGCCCAAAATATGTTAACAAATTAATTTTTTTAATGCATGCTAAAGCAAGATTAATAAAAGGTTATTCTTGCACCTTTATTGATTTCAAAAAAAAAAAAAAATTCAAATTTGCAATGATAGTTTTTTTATCCACTTTCCATTCTCAGGCTCTTTTCTTAGTACAAGTATTTTTTTTATTGCACACTACCTATAGTATAAGTAAGAATACTAAAGTACAAAGAACTCACCACAATGTGACAAGCCAGGGAAATATCTTGAACATGTGATGCTTCTGTCACTGTAAAACACAATGGAAGAACATATAGTTGACAACGAATGAGTTGATGTCGTCAGGGGAGTGAAAAAAGATCAACGCATCCAAAGTTCAACCTATAGGATCAGCATGTACAGGACGTATGACAAAACCATCAAACAATTATTTAACAAAATAAAGTTTAAAAATATCTCATGAAAAAAATAACTTTTACTTAACCTTTAAAAAATTTTTTTTTACCCCCCCATCCACTCCTATCATTTAACTCACTGGCGACTGGGCCCTTTCACCAGTCACAAGCGTTGAAGACTGGCGTTTTTGGGGGTATTTCAATAAATCACCACAACTCTCAGAATTACCCTATTGTAATCATTTTTTGACACAGTAAAGTAACATTCAAGCTTAATCTAATACAAAAAACTAAAGTTGTCTAAGTCTAATACTTTAATTTGTATGATTTTTAAAAAAATTGGCATGAATTTGATTTTCCGAAAAATTTCCAGAGACGTGACAAGTAGAATGAAACAACAAAAATAAAAGTTCAAAGTGTTCTGGTTTGATTTGTATACATGTGCGAGTGTTTGGTGAAAATATAAAAGCTGGTCTGTGCATTGATTCAGACCCATACACTGAATTACATGAGACAGATGTACGGCACGACGTTGTGATTTCGTTGCGCGAAAAACAACACCGGTACTAGTGCTAGATCTAGCCCTAGAACTACGACTCGGGCCGTGTTCGGGTACATATCCCGGATCCTAACTATTAGACATATCATTTTCTGAGACACTAGAACTAGTAAAACGCACAGAAGTATAGAAAACGGCCAAATTATGTGATTCTTGTTCATGCGACTTCTTCGACTGTTACTACGACACGACTGTCGGATTACTATCAGCTGTATAGAAAAAAACAAAGCGCGAGTTCCGGTCTGTTCAACCCCAGTTGGGGTCACTGTCCTTCACCTTCAATAACTTAAAAACTACCGGCCCCAGAGATACGAAACGAAGTCTAAGTACCTCAGGCTTGGGCAAACAAGGGTACGAGGCGGGTCTCGCGATCCGTGTGTGATTTGTAGAGCGAAAAAAAAATTCCAAAATTGGTCACGCAGGGCTTGTGAGACCCGTCGCGAGCGTCGCGGCGGGGGTCACGCAACTGTTGTGTGACCCGTCTGAAGTGAGTTAAAAAACCCACAATAACCCAAAAACAAAACATTTTGTCTGACGCTCAAGTAATTCAATAAAGGAGACAAATAGAGCAGCACAAAGGTAAAACTCAACTAACCAGTCTGAGCCAGGTCCAGTAATTCTTGAAAGAAATCTTTCTGTTCATCTGCAGTGTGCACAGTGTCTGTCAGTCCCTGGAAGAGCAGATTTGACAGGCTTAAAACAAACATAACCAGCTCACCTAAATTATTACATATATCTTTTTGGTGCTCAACTCTTCAGTATTTCAAAACTGTACCCTATTACAGTCTTAGTAAGTTATCTGTATTCCAGTTTCACACATTGAAAGAGATACAATAAACTAATTACAAAACCAAAATGTAAAAAATATTTTGATTTAGGGATTTTTTTAAAGAACAAAAATCTTTACCTTGAGCCAGAATTTTTTGGCCTGGACTGCCTGTACACACATTCAGTCCCCAGTTCTCGTAATAAACTGACAAAAAACTCGACATATACATCAGAAAAATATTTTAAAGCCCTTGCACTATCAACGCAATCATTGACAATAATCATGTCCAGTAGTATATAGAATTAAAATACTTGAATAAAAATGAAAAGAAAATGCATCACACCGTATTAGCGAGACAGAGATTACCTCTGCTAAAAGCTGTACTGAAAATGGCATTCTCACCTTATATATCTTTCACTTAAAAAAAAAAACATGCTGAAAAAGAATGATGACTGACGCCATACAAAATGAATATAAAAAAAAATAGAGCTCTTAGATAGGCAATCAGTGTAACACTCTTTGCACAAGAGAAGAAAGGAAACTTTCTTACAATGACACATGAAGTGTACGATTTCCTTCATGACATGGAAAGAGCCCCTTAACTCACTTGCACTGGGCCCTTCCACCAGTCACAAGCGTTGAAGACTGGCGTTTTGGGGGGTATTTCAATAAATCACCACCACTCTCAGAATTACCCTATTGTAATTATTTTTTGACACAGTAAAGTAACATACAAGCTTAATCTAATACAAAAAACTAAAGTTGTCTAAGTCTAATACTTTAATTTGTATGATTTTTTAAAAATTGGCATGAATTTGATTTTCCGAAAAATTTCCAGAGACGTGACAAGTAGAATGAAATTCACTACAACAACAAAAATAAAAGTTCAAAGTGTTCTGGTTTGATTTGTATACATGTGCGAGTGTTTGGTGAAAATATAAAAGCTGGTCTGTGCATTGATTCAGACCCATACACTGAATTACGTGAGACAGATGTACGGCACGACGTTGTGATTTCGTTGCGCGAAAAACAACACCGATACTAGTGCTAGATCTAGCCCTAGAACTACGACTCGGGCCGTTTTCGGATACATATCCAGGATCCTAACTATTAGACACATCATATTCTGAGACACTAGAACTAGTAAAACGTACAGAAGTATAGAAAACGGCGAAATTATGTGATTCTTGTTCATGTGACTACTTCGACCGTTACTACGACGCGACTGTCGGATTACTATCAGCTGTATAGAAAAAAACAAAGCGCGAGTTCCGGTCTGTTCAACCCCAGTTGGGGTCACTGTCCTTCACCTTCATTAACTTAAAAACTACCGGCCCTAGAGATACGCAACGAAGTCTAAGTAGCTCGGGCTTGGCCAAACAAGGGTATGAGGCGGGTCTCGCGATCCGTGCGTGATTTGTAGAGCGAAAAAAAAATTCCAAAGTTGGTCACGCAGGGCTTGTGAGACCCGTCGCGAGCGTCGTGGCGGGGGTCACGCAACTGTTGTGTGAGCCGTCTGAAGTGAGTTAATGTCCTGTGACTTCAGCATTTATAATCTAGCCCTTACCTTGGCCTTAGATTTGAGCAGACGGAAGAGTGACTTTGACTTGTCTACCACAGCCTGGTTTTCCTTGGCGTCAGCCTTCAGGATAAGCAGCAGTAGAGGCCTTAGCAGTTCCTGTCAGAAAACGAAACAAACACTAAGTGACCAATTGGAGATCACAGCACAAGACCTTCAGGAACACTGAAACAAATCATAGAATCACTAAAGATAAAAAGACGTTGAATTCATGATTAAGAAATGCACTAGTAACTCGAAAACAAACAAACAAAAATCTCAGGAAGGAACTGAAACTGGATTTCTGCAAAAGAAGTACAATTCCAAGTTCATGTGTAATGTAAAGTACTGGGAACATGAAAGGGGGTGGGGCTGGGTTTGTCTGTCCTGTTTTTTTCCCTCCATACTGGTACTGCTATCATAGTAATTTGATTCTCAGCCCATAGAAATACTGACAGTTTCGTAACACAGGAAGCTGATATTACTCATAAAAAAATTCGGAAGCAACTTTATCATAAATATTAATAAATATATATAATCAGACAGCCACCGGAACAATCAGTATGGATACCTTGTGGGCTTTGGTGCTGGGGGGGAACTGAGCACTTATGTACCTGTCCAGTGTGCAATGACTTTGTTGCTCAGGACAGGTAATACAGGTAATAAATATATGTCGATTAAAGCATTGGTCAGGAAAAACTTCATAATCCATAATCAAGCTCGACATAAAAATTAGTGTATCACATAAGTAGCAAATCAGTTTTATCATTTGCCAGTAGCTGTATCAAATGAAAATATGAGTGAATTATACAAGTCTACCAACTATTCTACATCCCTAATCTATGAAAACAATACCAACCATATCCCACCCCCAACCCCACAATGAAAGATACACACAGACAACAGGATTCCTGTGCCTACTCTGTCCAGGTCTTTATCACAGAATTCATGGCCTGTTCTGTTATAAAGATCAGGCCATGAATTCAAAGGTAGCACTTTAAAATGTAGGACAAAATGGTTACAGAGTACTATAACCCGATTTTAGTGAAGAGCAAATGTGCTAGCTGACACTGAAAAACCAATTTAAAAAAAAAAAGACTAGAGACAATGGAGAGTGACACTTTTTCTTCTTCTCCTTCATCTTAAAATGGACACCCCAATCTCTAGTATGAAAGTTGCTCTTGGCCACAGGTCCACCAGGCTTCTGTAGAGTTTTGGGTCTCCTTGTCTAGGTTTGGGTCAATATCTTTCTTTTTCTAAGTTTCTCGAGCATAGAGCAGGTTTGCAGTAGATAAAACACCGACTTGTTACGGCTATTTTGGCTACAAGTGCATCATTTTCAAGAAGCTTACCGTAACAAAGTCTCCACACCTCTCACTTTTGACCAAAACCTCCACCAGATCCAACACCCTGGAAATAAACGAGACAATAGAAAAAGTGTGCCAAATGAATAGTCGGAATACAAAAATCTACCACAGTAGAATAGCAAAAGACTATACAAATCAGCCACTCTGTTTACTTTTAATTATTAAAAAAGAAACATATTTGTTTGTGATAACCAACCAATGATGGAAGCCATCATTTTAAAACTACTTTCTTTTACTTCTCCGTGATAAAAATTATACTGTCACAACATACACCTTCGTCTCCATGTGATCATTTGAGTGTTGTTTATTTGACTTTCCCGGCTGTAATAAGAACTAATGTTGATTTAATATGTGTACAAAACATAACATCGCGGGTGAGCCACTGACCGCCAGGCCAAGCGTCTGCAGGTAGCATGACACGGGCTTGACTTCATCTCGGAGGTCAGGTCGGCGAGCATGTAAGTGATCCTGAGTGGAATAGCTGTGATCTTCAAAGATTTCTCTACTCTTGTTAAATGGTATTACATTACAGTATGTCAAAAACTTTTCAAGAACTAAAGAGAGGCTGGAAGGGGTCTATTACAATCTGTAAAGAAAGAAGCAGTAGCTAATACAGTGATGGAATCACCCTTTGCCATGTTTTATTCAGGATCCAATATCTTTGTAAGACATTTACGATTTATCATTTTATGAAAACAAAATTTTAAAAATCATTTCAAACCTGATCCTGAAGTTAGCCGTTTCCTTCTTTTTCTCCTCTCGACTTTTCTTCCCAGCACTAGCTTTCTTCTTTTGCCGAAACACTTCAGCCAGCATGTCATCCAACTCGAACATCTCCGAGTCACTCATATCAGACAACTCCTGGAGGGAGAAAAAAAAATAAATGTCATTTTCTTTTTCCATTGGACGTTGGCACATTCAATAGGTCCCGGGTTCGAATCTGGATAGCAGGCGCAAAATTTTCTTCTCTAAAATGTTTTCCTTTCACATCCTTTCCTGCTCTCTAACAATGTTCTGTCGTCTGTTTTCGTCTTCACTTTATGCCCCCACCACCTCACCTCCTTTGCCCCCCCTCCTCTGTGCTCCTGACTCTTTCTGCAGCCTTTATTAACTGCTACTCCTTGGCTCCTTCTTACTGCTGTCTTTAAGCCACACCACTGATCTTCTGGTAGGAAAAATCAACACCTAGCCTTCTCGCACAAGGGCAAAAAATCTCGGAGGTCCTGTGTGCAAGTTGCGCATGTTAAAGATCCCTTGGTAGTCCAAAATTGATAAGAGTAGGCATTCCTTTTCTAAAAAGACAAATCCATTTCATGAAAGATCAATTACTAAACTTACGCGGACAAATCCCTTTCTTTTATTTTTAAACATTCCCACACAGGAGGAGATAACTCTCAGAAATTACAAACGATAGCCAAAGTTAAAAAGCGCTCATATGACCTTATGCAGTTGCGAGCGCTGTAAAACCTCTACTAAAACAAACAAAAAGTTTTTAAAAAAAATGTTGCATGTAAAATTGTCTTCCAAATAAAAAAAATATCCCACAGCTCTCAATTTTGATTTGGTGACTTCTGGCATGAAACATAACTCATAGATTTGAGAATGTATCCTGTGACTGAACTAGAAGACCGTTGACATATCTAATATATAATAGTAATAATAATAATAATAATAATAATAATAATAAAATAATAACTAGCAATTGTACAGCACAAATTCTCACTCAATATCAAGCTCTATGTGCTTTACAATCTATATCATTACTCAGACCTGCCACTCTATGAAATCTCAAAATCAGGATCTCAGGGGAAAAAAATCGGGATCAACGCAAATCACCAAGGTGACTGCCAAGCTGACTTTAAAACTTTCCAGGGGTGTCTATAAATACATCTATGTACCGGTATACACCATGTGTGTGTGTGTGTGTGTGTGTGTGTTTTATCATTATTTTTTAAAAATCCTGAAGCGTCACATCAAGCACCAAGATGACTGCCAAGCTGACTTAAAAATTTTCCAGGGGTGTCCATAAATATATCCATGTGTACGCCTTGCGTGTGTGTGTGTGTGTGTATTTTATCATTATTTTTAAAAACGCTGAAGCATCATGTCAAGCACTCCTAGTCCAAGTGTTTATACCCCCCCCCCCCCCAAACAATAAGTCCCGAAAGACACTTCAATCAGTGTGCATTAACTTAACTTGATCCCGTCAATGAACAGTCCTTGACACACGCAAAACTCACACGCTGAAGTCATGTCATGTGATGCGAACACGTGATTGAAACAGTCACTGAGCGCGTGTGTGTTGTCACAGACAGTGCAGTGTGATGACATGACGTCACTGTTCATAGCGCTTCGAATTTCGAAGAGCCTAGGGGAAGGGGAGCTTATTGCGACATTTAATTTCATGAGAAAAAAAAAACATTCGCTGCGCTTCAAGAGTCAACTGCCCTCCCCAGAGCTATGGTGTGACGAGTCTGCACAACACACATGCGGTATACGCCATGTGTGTGTGTGTGTGTGTGTGTGTGTGTGTGTGTGTGTATTTTATTGTTATTTTTTAAATCGGGATGAGTGGCAAGTCTACATTACCCAAGCAGACCTGATAGCATTCAAAAACAATCTCAACTTCCCTGGAAGCTTACAGTGCCAGCTGAAATTTTACAGGCACTTAAACACTAACATACTGATAAGATCTTTCCCTGCCTATGGGTGGGTACCCTTCCACACCTGGGTGAAAAGAGGAAAATATGTGTAAAGTGCCTTTCCCAAGGAGGCAAAGTTGGACCTAGCTGAGGCTCAAAACCCCTGAACCCACAACCTCCCCATTAAGAGTTCGGTGGCCTAACAACTAGACTACTGACATCACATATTTGATAGCAAACAGCATGCCCCTTGAGTTAAAGAGAGGAAACATAAACTCTCTGAGAAGGACACGAGTTCAGAAAATTTAAAGGAGTACTTCATAGAGTCAAAATCCTATAAAAGAAGAGAATGTTTTAAAAAAATGCTGGAGCTTTATTTTTCACCCTGGGGGTTTCTGTATCAATCACTGCAAAAATACAATGCTGACATCTGTTTGAGTGAAATAAAATTTCTCGCTTCTTTAGTGGATTCTGTAACTTCAGTAAGATAAACAATTGTTAATTCTTAAAACAGGAGACAACAAGGCCACAAACAATCCAAATTTTTTTGGTGTTGGCTTTAAAAAGAAATATGTTAAATTCCCCAAATAGTAGAACATGTCTTACGTCATCGTCATCCTCCTTCTCATCATCATCTTCCTTAACAGCAGCAGCACCGAGTGCTTCCTTGACAGATGCTCTGAATTGTTCGTCAACCTGCATTTCCTCCTCTTCATCATCCTCTCCTTCCTCTTCCTCCTCAGACTCATCATCTTCATTGTCTCCATCATCGTCTTCACTTTCCTCACCAGGCACATCCTCATCAAGAAGATCATCGTCATCCTCATCTTCCCCGTCCTCAGCCTCCACAAGCACTCCCCCAGCATCATCGCCCCTCCCTGCCTTAGGAATAAGAACCTGGAGAAGAAATCAAGATACAAACTGGTATCAATTCTTTTTTTATAAAATCGTTTTAGCTTCAGTAAATATAAGTAAGAATGTAGGTAGGTGTGTAGGTGCACCCCCACAGAAACAATTCAAATACTTATATAATTTAATTTAAAAAGACCCAGCTGCTCTGAACCTGTTTGTCAGGGTCAACCCTTCATGAGACACTGTATCCTGGAAGAAAAAAAAGATAATATTCGGAAAAAAAAACCTTACTTTATTGCCTGCAAATTGAACCCATATCAGCAAAAAGCTCAAGCATTACACACAAACTCCAAAAAAGCACAAAAAAGGGCGTGGATGAGAAACAAGAAATTGTTTAGCTCTCTGGCGTTTTCAGATTTGATATACGGTCGAACCTTCACCAATGGCCACTTGTCACTGACAATCACCTGTATAAACAACCACTTATCCTCTTCGCATATTTTTATACAATAAAGACACTGTCCAAGATGTCCATCTGTTTAAGACAACCACTTCGCCCCTTGACAATAGGTGGGCGTCTTGGACAATTTTGATTGCACTTTTTTGGAAGAAACTGGCATCTTTGGTGATACAAAATATACACAAACAGCATTGTATCAACACATCACGTTATCTGTCTTTTCCTTCCTCTCGAATTACTAGTCGCCACCTTAGAATTGCAAAGTTCTATCTGACATTTTTGGCTAAAACCACGAGGTCAGAAACTAATTTTGTTCTGTCTGCTCTACCAAAATCGTTACATTATTCCAAGTCGTCAAAGTATTGCATTGGAAAAGGCTTGACATTAGGTGAAACTCAAAATTTTTCATGTCAAATTTCTCAAAACTAGGTCCTGAGCAGATAGAACTTAGTAAGTCTTGGGTAGTGTAGTAGCATATTATAACTTGGCAAAGCCACAGACAAGCACAATATTACACATTATATAAACTAATAAATAAACGACCACTAACTTCTGTAATGAGCTGCACGGCTCCCACCGTGAGATGGGAGGACATGGACTGCAAGACCACACAAGCCACAACGCGACCCAGGTGGGACTGTAAGGACATCAGGTTGAGGAGGACTTCTGTGACCACTTCCTGCCACGGGAGCTCTGGAGACAGAGAGGTTGAAATTCTAAGAGGTTATAATTTGAGTAAGCGTTTTACAGCACTTGCAACATAATTAGGTCACATAAGTGCCGAAGATTAGAGGTGTTACAAAAGAGTAACGACACATAAAAAAAAGGAGGAAAGATCAGATTTTACACCCCTATCTATGCAATTATACACAAATAACAACAAATTAAATGGTCAAGGCATCGGTCAAGACTACCACAAGACAGTATAGCTGCAAGAGTACACAACAGGAAATCAGAAGGAAACAGACAAAGGGATAGGCCCAGGAAAAGATGGATAGAAGGAGCCAGAAAAACAGTCAAGAACAACATAACAGTACCAGAGGCGATACAACAAATAAGAGAAAGACGTTTGCTTCTCCCCTCAACACTGCAAAGACACAGAGTCGGACAAAAGTAAGTAAAGTATCTGTGCAATTTAGATAATTCAGGAGGCAGGTTGCTTTGAACATTGCCTATCAAGCTCATGTCGTCTGAATGTGATAGAGAATAGCTTAACCACTACACCACAAATGCTGGTGAAGACAGAGAGGACACTCCAAGGTCAGGGATATTTTAAAAGCCATGCATATAATAAAAGAAAGAAAATTATTTTTACGGAATGGAAAAAAAAATCTCATGAAATGATCACCAGTCTGTAACACATTTTAGCTGGACATAAAAAGCCACATACCATAGTTAACTTTAAATATGGTTTATCTTAATTTAACTATTTCCTGGCATATTTATGGACTCACTTCTAAATAATGACAGATTGTCATACAACTTAACAGAACTTGTCCTGACAAAAAGCAATTGTCAACTTTTTATTACATGGTCAGATCTTATTTTCTATTGGGAGAAATCAACTGGAACTTTTGCTTTCATCTGCAACTGGGGCACATATTTATTATAGTTAAAACTGCAAAGATCCTTTCAACAAATATGACCTAGGAGGAACTTCTAACATAAAGAATTTCTTTCATAACAAACCTGTCTCATCTCCAGATCCCTTTGCTTGTTTCTTTTTGCTTGATTTTTCATAGCACACATAGACTTCCTGTGTTGAAAACAAGATTTAGGCGTGACCACATGTTTCCAAAAGAGAAAATAGAAGCATTATTTATAAGCAGGCAACGGCTAAATTCATCGGTTCATGCTAAATTCTATCCAATAGCAAACAATCTAAAGTGCCTGTCACTTGCTGAACAATGCAGCTATGCATTGTGAACAATATTACTTCTGAAAGAAAGATATTCTACAGCAACAAACGAGAAAGTCCGAATACATTTAACAATAATAAAGGTTACTTTTACAGCACCTACACCTCAATGGCTCTTTTCATTGCAATTAAGTCTGGAGTAAAAGCTTAGTTTTAGTTTTAGTAGAGGTTTTACGGCGCTCGCAACTGCATAACGTCATATGAGCGCCAGAAGAAAAGAGGCGTTACAAGAGAGTAACAAACATTAAAAAAAAGAAGGGGAGATAAGAACGATAGATGTTTGATAGGAAAGAAGAAGCAAACCACATCAGAGCACCCGCCAACCACCTACGGAGTAAAAGCAAAAATTCCTCAGAAGTAATACTGATAAGTGTAGTATGTCTTTATGAGTACTTTAAACATTTTGCCCAATGGTGGAATAAGTACTTCTAATACACATTTACACACTGACCTGAAGTAAATCGGAAGCTGTTTGGAAGTCACTGAGCATGTGGAAACCCAAAAAGAGGAAGAGGAGCAGGAATGCTGAGTCACTGGCTGATGGTTCACCATTGCTCTTCTGAGGACACAAAGAATATATCAAAGTTCTGAAACAAGGGTTTTTACACCTATCACACAACAGTCGGATGAAGTAATAAGATTCGCGCTCCTTTCAACATAATTTACAGCACTAAAAGACATAAGACTGAACAAATACTCAAAACAGACAAGACCTGCTTGAACCATTTCATCATAGATTTTTCCATCAGAATTCGAATTTCAAAACTTGCATCTGGGTTGTTAGCGCTCTAGTAACATCTTAGCAAAGTCCCTTTTTTACTAACTTTGACCCTTTCCCTTGTCACTGCTTACTCTAGCTCAACTATCACAGAGACACTTACCTGTTGGTTCTTGCACAGTTTTTGTGTTTTGTTTTAGTACGAGTTTTACGGCACTTGCAACACAATAAGGTCATATAAGTGCCGAAGATTAGAAGCGTTACAAGAGAGTAACAAACACAAATAAAGAAGGAAGAGAGATAAGGATGATAGATGTTTGATAGGAAAGAAGGAGCAGACCACCCACGTTTTTGTGTTTATCATGGACAAATAAAGAAAACCAAGAAAAAAGGATAACAGCAACCTTGAAGCTCTCCCATTACTCTCCTTGGGCCACATTTTGGTTGTCCTGACATGTCAGCTATATGAATAGTATAGGGGGTCTAAGTAAGTCAACTTTTATCAAAACGATTTGCAGCTGCAAAGCAGAAACAATTAACCTTTTTTCAAATAAGCTCATAAAAAAGGCAACCAAAACCATGAATCAGCAGCGGAGTTAATAAGGTCACAGACGTTAAAAAAACCCCCAACAACTGTTGACACAAAGGATGAAAGAAACTACCAACCTTCTGTATCTTGGTGACCAAGTTGTACACCTTGTCCCACTCTTCTGTCAGCTGTCACAGAATAAAATAAACAACAATATATTAACACAACTTCAACTATATATTGCAAATGCTAAAATAAAAACAAGAACTTCTAATAAGTAACATTACATTTTTTTTAATGTTTGAAAATGAAACCACACATTGAAACAAAATATTAAAAAAGAACTGCCCAACACAGAACAATTCTAAATCATTAATAACAATCCAAGCAACACCCCCCCCCCTCCCCCAACTAAAATACAAGTCAAGGGTACCCGTTAGTTAAAAGTAGCCACTATTTAGTGAAGTAACACGCATTCTATTTAAATTTTGCTGTGGATATTAACCCCTTCTGGCCTTCAATACTGTAGGTAAATAGGCCCCTGTGCCAGAGAAAATCCCAGGAACCAAGGCAGCTCAAGGGTGACCCCACTCTACCTCCCATAACTTTTTTATTTATGAATATTTCCTCATGAATTTCTGCATGTACATTCTACATCGAACCACATTTATAATATTGATGATTGTGAGGGGATTTCGTAGAGAGATAGATGGAGAAAGGTTGGGAGTTAGTAACATGATGCCAAAAATAACATCACCAAATAAAATAAACAACACATATTCTAGTAATGATAAACTGATACAAAAAAAAAAGGAAATACATGTTGAGTTATTTTTTTATAGTAGACGGTTTTACGGCGCTCGCCACTGCATAAGGTCATATGAGCGTCAAGGGGTGAGTGTCAACAGAGAAGTCTTTACAGGGAATCAGACTTAGACTGCTCACCTCTCTAGCTTCAACAGCACAAGGTCTGCTTCGACTATCAAGGCACCCCAAAATAGCAGGTCACAAGAGAGTGACAAGCATACAAAAGTAGAGGAAAATGACAATAGTAAGGATCAGGAAAGAAAAAGCAGCAGTTCCCTGTTGTAGATCAGGCACAGTTATGAGCATGACATGAGTCAGCCCATTTACAATTCTACTATGCTTGAATGAGAAATGTCCCCCCTTTGGGAATGGCCTAAAGACACTACAATTGGTGGCACTGCCCCGGGAGGGGGTGGGGGGGGGGGACATGTCGTGTGAGTGTTTGCAAGTAAAGAGGAAGTGACAAGAAGCTTTTCCTACCTTATACAAAGCTCGTACAATCCATATGTATACATGTAAACCCATCTGTGTTTACAGCCAGTAAATCATTTTTGTGTGGTAAATGTGTATATTATTATCTAGATCTAATCTTCTCTTTGAGCTAAAAATCTGAATCTGACGCTTTCAAATGGGGGGAAAATGGAGGTAAACATAAAGGGAAGGTACCTTAATAATACAGAGATGCCAACCAACCAACCAAAATGAGTATTGGGAAATATGAAAATGTGTATTTTCAGGTGAAAATGTGTATTCCCCACGACCGACCGACCGACCAGTAATAGTAAAATGTTCAGGGTGTCCAGCAATATTTCCCGAAAAAAAATTACTAGCTCACCAGCTTGAAAAAGGGAGCACACACGCGTACAATATACATGTATCCAGTCAACAACATGTCAGTGTTCAATGTCGTACTGGGGTCTTGCTTGACTTAAGTATTTCAGTCTATTATATAATATTTTCCTCTCATTATTATATAAAAAATAAATCCTGCTTTGAGAGTTCGGAAGGGCATAGAACAAGAATTTCGACTGTCAAGAACCTGTCTGGGTGCCATGATTCATATTATGAACTGACAGACTCAAATTATTGTTCAAACTCAAAGAAAAGCAATAACTTGAATGGCTCAAGTAGACCCTTGCACTGTGAGAGTTGTAACAACTGTGGTAGGGCAAGATGCAGTGACACTGAAAATCTGCCAGTCTTGAACAGAAAGCTACAACATACCCTGTAGGTATAATTTACTATCACCCATCCAAGTAGGTATAATTTACTATCACCCATCCAATGAAACGCGAACACTTTATTTCAATAACAGTCTTGCTAAAGTATGAGGGGTCCTGATTCCGCACATGGCCTGCACCAACGTGCGCTTTGCACAAAGCTCTAATCAAAATTCTGAAACTTGCTTCCAAGTTTTTTTCCTCTGGTGTTGCCTTAAACCCCCGATAGTATCTTAAACCCAAAAAAATATCAATAATCTCCTCCCCTATTCCGTAGTCCTATACTTCGCAACGCCGTTACTCCCACCAAACATGGTGTTTTCTCACACGATGCCGCATTTATTTGTGACACGAATGCGCGCAGGGTCAGTAACCGGTCACGATGGCGAGCCAGACAATCTAAAAATCGGACGACGCTTGTATTTTCTTTACTTTTTTTCCCCCCACAAGTGACAGCACAGCGACGAATCAGAGTATTTATTACATTTTATTTGCACGGCGACATTGTGTTTATACTGCACAACCTGCAAGACACAAATGTTGCGTTATCAGACAACTGCTGGCAAACTTCTCGGATGTAACGAAAGCAAAAGTAGATCTTGATTTTCCCGATCGAGCCTCGGTGTCACATCTCGTAGTTTTCGCATTCCAGGATGCGTATTTTTTCATGAAAAGTCGTATTTGCGTATTTTCGGCCAAAAATCGTACTAAAATACGTAAAATCGTACTGGTTGGCATCTCTGATAATAATTACAAGATTTTAGCAGTAATTTCCCTTATAACTGGTATCAAAACAACCTCTGTCACAGTCCCGTAAATTCTACGAGCCATAGGCACAGCGCTACAGGGTTCAGGCCCGTAAATTCTACGGGCCCGGCAGCAAAGAGGTTAAATCATTTGTCCTATATATATGCAAAAGTCATGCAACATTTTCTTTAAAGGGCTAAACAGTAAAATCATTCCACTATAGAACAAAATGAAATCAATATTATTGTAACATTGTTCCATTATTTCCTTAAAATTTCAATTTCACTTTGATACTAAACACCACATACCTGCTCTGGCCATGGCTTTATTGGTGCAACATTGTCAGCCTTCATTAGTGCCTGTGATATCAAGAAAGGAAAATGAGGAAAGCAGTAATATCAATCTAAAAATTTCAAGGACAATAATCAGTTAGAGAGATTCAGACTTGGATAACAATAGAGCCTCAAAGCCAGACTTGTGAAAAAAAATTAAAGGTTTTAAAAAAAAATTCAGCAACAAAACAAGTAATTATTTCCAAAAATATTTTAATACATCAAATTATACTTAATTTCAAAGAAAACCATAAAAAGAAAAGCAAAAACAAACTGTAGATGTGCCAGCTTAAACAGCCATCTCAGTATACAAAGCCTTTCCACAGACTTTTACTTGAAATGACATAGCTTGTTCTGGTTTGTTAGCACTTTAAATTACGACTTACCTGTAAATACTGCGATAGATGAAGAAGCAAAGAAATGTACTCCTGCAGATGTTCAGCTCTTTTCTGTGATCCTGAAAAGACAACCAAAACATAAAACTGAGTCAGTTTTTAAAGGACATAGAAATCTATACCATTTTGCATATGGTTACATATGTGCTCAATAAATGTGTATGTGTTTTCTGAATTAAAAAAATTCCCCTAGAGAAAGTCATAAAACCTAGGCCTCCTATAAAACTGATCCTAATCACCCATATCCAATAACAAAGAAAATGTGACCTGCAGAGAAAAATATTGGGGGAGTAAGGGAATCAATTACTTCAGTCAAAAAGAGCACTGAATGCAAGAATATAAAGTTCTCTTTCAACAAATTAAACGTTCGATTTTGTTTTCCTTTCGATGGCTTACTTGTACAGGCAACAATGAATCTTTGTAAAAAATGTTAGCCAATCTGCGATCAACAAACAACTGACAATCGCTTACCGCCACCCATTGTGGACAACTGATCCAAGCCCTTGTAGAAGAATGTCTTGCAAAGTTTCTGATCTGACTTTCCCTCTTCCAGATTCATGGTGGTCTCACACTGAGGAGCAAAGCAATACTGATACTGAATTGATGAGATACAATAGCAGAAAAACAAAAGCTGTTGTGTACTTTTTGTGTCAACCCCTCACCCTTGTCATTCTCAACAGCTCTTATCCTTTGGACACTGCCCCACATGCAAATTTGTCTTCCCATACGCATTCATGGTGCATCACACTGAAACTGAAAAGAAAGTATTCCAGCTGAAAAATTCTCACTGTCACGTTCAAGGTTAAGAACTATTTGCATAAAGTTCACTTTAATCAATATACATGGGTTTTTTTTTTAAAGACATTTTCCTTTTAGATATTCTTTAACAAAATAATCAACAGGGAACAAGTCCTAGTAAAAGCTGCTGTTTTTAATTTATAAGTTTTCAGATTACCATAAATCTTGTGAATCCCCCCGGAGCAGTGCCACTGACTGTAGTGTCTTTAGGCCATTCCCAAAGGGGGGGGACATTTCTCGTTCAAGCACAGTAGAATTGTAAATGGGCTGATTCATCATGACACGCTCATAATTGTGCCTGATCTACAACAGGGAACTGCTGCTTTTTTTCCCCTAATCCTTACTATTGCCATTTTCCTCTACTTCTTTTTTATGTTTGTCACACTCTTGTGACCTGCTATTTCCGGGGTGCCTTGATAGTCGAAGCAGACCTTGTGCTGTAGAAACTTGAGAGGTGAGCAGAGTAAGACTGATTCCCTGTAAAGACTTCTCTGTTGACACTCACCCCTTGGCGCTCAAATGACATAATGTAGTTGCAAGCGCCGTAAAACCCTCAACTATAATAAAAAATAAATCTTGTGAACACATACCAAAGCAAAGGTATGGCTACAGATGAAGTGAAAGACACTGAATAAGCTTGTTTGCATCATGCTATATCATCCCACTAGTAAATTTTACAGGTCCAAAAGAGCTTGTGTACAAATAAACAGTGAGCTTCTAGAGCTCGTCTGTTAATGAAAATGTTGCAGTAAGAAAACTTCTTAATCAAATATACAGAGTTGCAAAAGTTCTGTCACACCCATTATAATACGATAGCTTTTGGTACAGCGTAAGAATTAAAGCAAAAATGAAAAGTACAACTTGTGTGAATTATGAGACTCTTTGTGTAGGAGTAGATGAAAGAAATCATAAACCGGAAGTAGTACATGGGCAAAGTGTTGGTATTGATTTCTCTCGGTTTATGTTGAAATCAACGCTTCCTACACACAAAATTTGCTTTGAATCACGTACACAATATGTTAACACACTTTACACACTATAAAATTCCATACTTTTTAACGGTTGGGTTGTTTTTTCACCTGTTTTCAAAATTTCAAAACTGATAAATGCAGAAAATATAGGCACTGTGTGTGTATGTTAAATTCTCAAACTGCGCTTTCTGCAGTTGCAAGACACGTACATGTGTGCAGAAGGACCATCAAACGCTTAAACAAACATTTTAACACAAACTAGAACTGTTCAAGACAAGCCAAGAGCGACAACTTGACGTCAGAAATAGGTTATTGTCAATACCCATGTTCGAAACGCGTTCCAACTACTGGGTCCCCACCAAATCCTGGAAATTTTTTTCAAGACCCTGATTCAAGGGAAAAATAAGGCTGCTGCGCGTCAAGAATGATCCCCCAAAAAGCCCATCTACCAAAGACAAAAAGTCAAAATGTCTTTAAATGAATGCAAATGTACATTTTGTAGTATAGCCTTCAAACAATAGATGATTATAATACTGGGTGACTGCCAACCCAGCCTCTCAATTTTCCAGCCCCCCCCCCCCCCTCGTGTATCTTTAGGAAAAAAAATCAATTACCCCCCCCCCCAAATTCCGGAGTCCTATACTTCACAGTGCTCAGACCGCCGGTACTCACACGATGCCTTATCATGTGATGTGAACGCACAGGTCCACTGACCCGTCATGATAGCGAGCCTGACAAGACACTTGTATAACTTTCTTTTCTTTTTTTTTTTCACAAGTGACAGCACAGAACAAATATTGATTTATTTTCATGGCAACACAGCATTTGTAATGCACAACCTGCATGTTACAAATATTGTGTTATCTATCAGACTATTATCGGCAAATTTCTGGGTAGTAACGAAAGCGAACGTAGATATTGATTCTTCCCGATCGAGCCTCGGTGTCACAGATACACTTCTGCCTGCCGCCATAGCGGTACATTTGTGTTTCCTCTTCATGGTTCATCAACTATACTGTCCAGATAGCTACACTACTAATATTGCACAGGCCCTATCCTTTCCCGACCCATCACAAAATTCTCGACTTTTTCCAGATTTCCCGACCTGGTGGGGACCCTGCAACTAAGAGCAGAGACTGCCAGGTACTTTGGACTGTCTTAAAACACCATTATTAGACATTCATATAATTGTGGATTATGTAATTATCGTCCTTTACGTGGATCCATTCTAACCCTGTTTCATCGAAGAAATCGCCAAATTTGGACACAACAACATTGGCAATGAAAATAAAGACGTTGGTAAAGTGTTCTGTACAGCAATGGTTAAGGTTTTTAATTCTTGCATTGATGGAAAAGAACAAATGCCTAAAAGAAGAGGATAGAGATTTCACAAATCCAACATCCCCAAAGTGGCCCGAATCGGTGGCTGAAATTTGATGGTATGGGGTGGAATCTCTGCTCTTTATTTTACACATTTGGCTACTTTTCAAAGCAACCTCGACAGTATTGTGACGAAAGTCACGGTGACTACCCTACATGGCACAGATGATGTAATGTGCTAACAAGACAACGCCCGACCACAAATGGCCACAATCCGTGCAACCTCTTTCCAAATTCATTAAATCATTGTTCTTAACTGGCCTGCAAGATTAACAAGCCTTAACCTAGCAGAACATTTGTAAGATGATCTTGACTTGGAGGATTAGAAACAGGCCGCACTCCGCATAAACTTGTCAGGAACTGAAGGCTGCACTTCACAAGGAATGGCAGGGGATTTTTAAGACAATCATGAGGACATTAATTCAGTCAATGAACTGACGTTTTGTATCAGATTAGTAATTCAAGCTGGAAGAGGCCACATGCGATATTGAACAAACTTTGATTTGGATTTTGCAAGGGTCAATGTGAATGAAATTATCTCCTTTAAATAAGTAAAGACATTTATCAATTCTTTTCCTGTCATATTGGAGGAAATGAATAAAGATCATGTGTACCAAAATTTCTCTTGGCTATGTTGAATAATGAATGAATTATTGTACTTTTAATAAGGTGGGTGTGACAGAACTTTTCCAACACGGTATAAAAACTTGAATCACAGATAAAACTAAATTTCACAGACACTTTACTTTTGAAGCTCAAATTCAATGTTTCTGAATTTTGGGATCATTTTTTTCGGACAGATTACTTCTCGTCAACTGCCATCAGCTGTGGAAAAGCTCAGAGAATGCACTGAAGAAAGTCCATCCTTCTCCCTCCGAGACCTAACATTGACAACACACTCTATGGAACATTACAGCAACTGCAGCAGACCTGCACTTATCACTACATGGCATTGGACAGAAGGGCGAGAGCCCAGCTGTTGCTGGATCGATAACAACAACAACAACAACAAGAAAGTCCATTTCAAATATCACTCAGTTCTACCTCGTTACACCAAACGAAAAAAATAAGCATGTACAAAAATAAAAGATAAAGAGACATGTTATCTAAACAGGTTAAACCACATACATGTTGAATGCTTGAGTTCTTCTTGTTGACATGGAAAAAGGCAAGACGGACATAGAGAGTGAGTGCCGACTTCTGCAAGGCAGGAGAGGTGATACTCGGTGAGCTGAGGGCGTGGTGTAAACACCGTAGACAGCTCTCCATTTGTTTCCCCTTGTCTTTGTCATTTGAGGATCTGTTTTCAATTTGAATGAGAGAAAAAAAAAAAAGGTAAGTTGTGACATATCATCAGGCGCTTTTGTTACTGAAAATAAATTTTTTTAAAGAAAATAATAATAATAACCAAATTTATATGGCGCATATCCATGCTCTACAACATGCTCTATGCGCTTTACAACTACGAGTACAAGTGCAATAGAGTGCAACGCTCTCCTCATAACTCACGTACCAGTCTAGAGGTAAGGTTCTTGCCTTTAATGCTTAACTACAGTACCTTGTGCAATCTGTTAGCGCATGTATGGTCAAAGGATATCTTTTGGATGTCTTACAAATTTTTCACATCTATGATCTAAGTTTAAGAGCTATCAAGTACCTGGTCTTCTCAGAAAGACCACTACACGGCGCACCGGCAGTGGAATTTTAGTTGCCGCGGGGGGTTCCCCGCCGGGCGCCTTATCACGACGGGGTCACGGGGGTCAGCTCCCTGTCGCCGCTCTGTCTGGGCCGACTTAATTTTTGGTACTTTTCAACGTACAATTTAAGGTGTATCCTTGTATTTATGGTAATTCTCATTTAAAGCACCCAAAGCATGCATTTCTGCTATTGAGACTCAAAAAAGAACTGACGCTGTAACTTATCTGGTTATTTCGTTAGACGCGCTGGAGTCGGCAATGCTAAATTGTAATTTTTTGGGGACTAGCGTGAATGAAACAAAATCAATATAAAAAAAGGCCTCGTCAAAATCAGTCGAACTTTTGGAACATGAACGACATAGCATTGGTGCAGATACTCAGAAAAGATGGTATCTGCGCATATAATAGAAAGCTGTAATTTTGCAACTTTATCCAACGGGCACACAATTCGCTATGAAGTAATTCCTCCAAATACAACTTTATGTGTCTAATATAATCTTGAACATTCGCATATTTTCTCGAAAGTTTATAAAAGTCACTGTGAAGTTTCTCTATGAAAAGTACAAATCGATTTTAGTGCTAGAATACATCTTCAATGTAGATCTAATACACGAACAGCATCTGTTACACTCCAGAAATTCCTTACTTTTCTTAAAACGTTAAGTCTAGGTTTTGTAAGTTGACTGAATAATAGGGATGACTTCTCGTAATTGGGTTATAAGAATAATCTCTAGCTTTCCAGGGACACAGCATGATTCATGAACAAACGCAGAGTAACTTTCTCTTGTTTAATAGTAAAATAAAAGCTAACACTGATCGTCTTTAGTTAAAAAATGCAGCTTTATTTTTCGTTTCTATGACCATTTGCAATAACTGACAATGTGACTGATTTCTTTACATTCATAATTGTGTGCGTGCATATTTCCTACACAAAAACTAAGAATGAATGTGTTAGCTATCATTATATTTATTCCATACAAGAAGTTTATCTCTACCCATGTATTTACACGGTTTTGTGGGTTTTTTAATCGCTTAGATTCTATATTATATCTTTTTAGTTGTATGCAGGCTGCCACAGACACAGCATGATTCATGAACAAACGTAGAGTAACTTTCTCTTGTTTAATAGTAAAATAAGAGCTAACGCTGATCGTCTTCAGTTAAAAAAAGCAGATGTGCATCTTTCTTCTCTTATAACTTGACTATTTCTACTCGCGCGTATTTAAGATTTCTCACGGTAAAAGACATGATACTCGTAGTCAGTTTAAAACAGATTTTGGAGAGATCTGTCGTGCCTTTTTAAAATTAACAATCATTTATTCATAAGTTTGTAACTATATTAGGACAAATTAGGTACTCAACAAACACTTGTCTAGAACAAAAACTAAGGCACAGAAATTAACCATTCTAACGCAGAATAAATCTCAAGACATTGAGATGGTTTGCTATGTGGGATGGGGAAGAAGTTATATCATTTTAAACATAGTCAAAAATGCGAACTTCCTAACCGACACCGGCAAAGTCGCTTCAGGGCTCATTAACCCCGTGACCCCGAGCCGGGAAGCTCCGGCGGGCTGCTGAGTCACGCGAACTAAAAGTAACAGAATCGGGCGAAAAGTGACGCTGTGACTAGCATATATATATTTAAAAAAGCAATAGGTATCATCCAATTACAACTAAAGCAAATGCAAACATAGCTGTCTACTTCATTTCTTTCACAACTCACAACTTTATCGACTTGTTTGCTCCTTTCACAACGCCAGTGAGAGTCTCAGCAAATTTAGCAGCCTCTTCTTTCTCCATCTGCAAAAAAGAAACAATAAAAGGGGGGGAAAAATTAATTTCTATTGCTTTCACTTTACTGCATGTCCGATTTTGAAATGGATATAACATTTGAAATTATGAAAAATATTATACTAACCAACCCATCCCACTTATACGAAATTCTACGACTACTGTCAAAGCATTTACAGGTCGAAATCCCCTGAAGGGAAACTAAATGACTAAAATCACTAACTAAATCCCCCCCAGCATGTCTTGCTTCATATTGAAAACATATTGCAAACAGACAATATATATCTTAAAACCCCATAGATTGTCAAGTGCTTAATGCTTATACCCATGAGTACTACCCAACCACATAAATGAGCAACAATCGTTTACTACGCAGGACGTTATTGATTATTTTGAAAACCTTTCAGAACTAGATGTAGGTAATGGCGAGCACTTCTCTGAGTGGGATATGGAATGTGATTCTGACGATGATATGAATGAAGGCGTGAATTGCTCAGGAACTCATGCGGAGGGGCATGGTAGCCTCAGGAGGTGAGGGCTCAATGGGTTAAAAGAAAGCAAACATCACTCATTTTTTTTTTCCAACATGAAAAAGCATTCATACCAAATCCACCAGGCGGGTGAAATTGTGAGAGTTGATGATGTCCACACGGCCAGGTTGTTTTTCCAACTGATCAGCCGACAGTTTCCACAACTTGACCACCAGTGTCTGGACATTGATCTTCTCAGCCTTCACTTTCACTTGAAACTGTTCAAACTGAGAGGGCCAAAGCAAGTTTGGTTAATTCATTTTGAGTAAAAAAGAGAAGTACATCGACACAAAGACATTTAGTGTTGTGGAAATTTTGAAAACTACTTTTACTCTCTTCATGTAATGTCAGGTACATAAGACGGAGAGTAGTCGACGCCACGCTTGCCTGTCCCTGTTGTGGAAAGGTAAAACTCAAACAGAAACCACACATGGGAAGAAAACAAGTGGGACCTACCAGTGGCACCTTCAACCTTTTAACCAAAGCAAAAGAATAGTCTAGTCATCTCTAATTAAAACACACTAATACAGATTCCTCCCACAGCACAACCTACCCAAGGGCAGGCTCCAGACGGCAGGTGGAATTGATAGATTGAGAAAAAAAAACCCTAGAGCAGCAGTGAGAGTAAGGAAGAAGAAAGGATGGACTTGGTACCAATACGAAAAACTTTCCTTGAGACAGACATAAAAGAAAAACCCCGTCCATGGCTTTTCGGGAACTCCTTTCGAAGGGGGCAAAATAAGTAAACAATTCACAAAACAAATCTTCAGAAACTAAAACTGCAACAAATTTTAAACTGAGGTAATTAATAAACTATGAATTATAAAGTTCACAGAGACCAATTTGAGCGTAACACTGATAGTAGGGACGGCAATTGCTCTAAATTAAGACTTATAAAACAAGCTGGTAAAAAATAGCACAGCGGTCTCTGCCTTCGAGATGGTCATCCCAAGACAGAAAAGGCAGGTCCTTAGGCAGAAAACATTGTACCCAATATGTGATAACAAAAGATAAAGCATTTTCGTTTACTTTTACTTTCCCATGCACTCACAGATAAGGAATGGACAGGGGCAGGCTATGTCACAAGTATCAAGGGAAGGAAAATAATGAAAAACTCACCAAAGAATTTGCTGCTATGGCCAGTGGGTCATTTTTCTGGGTAATGCCATGGAAAATTGCAAAGGCTAAACTGGGACACAGCATAAGTTCCAGGACCTAATGAAATGGAGAGAGTCCAGGTATAAATTTTTTTTTTATGTGCAGTGCATAAAAAAGTTGGGGG